GGTTCGAATCCTAACCTGGGGTCTTTCTGCATGGAGTTCCCACGTTCTCTCTCTCCATGCAGAGTTCTGTCCAAGTTCTCTGGCTTCTTCCCACGGTCAAAAACACAACTGTAGTTTATATTGAAGTCTGAAACTGAAGTGTGCTTTCTTCAAAAGGCGTTTTCAAGGAAATGTTTTTATGCGTTTAGGTTATTCTGCTAGCATGCTGTTTCCCTTACCCTTTCATAGCTCTCGGCTTCAACCTGCTTACGCTTCCTGAGCTGTTTGGCGACTGATTTCGGCAGCATTTGGTGAAGCAGATCTTCAGCCAGCTTCCTCTGCCGTTTCAGATCCTTGGTTTTCTCCCTTAAGCTCTGAGCGTAGTCCTGGATCCACTCAGTCATCTCCTTGAAAGAGAACATCACCAGAGGATAAATGAGGCACGCCACAGCCAGCAGGCAGATCCTTATGCTGAGGCTGGAAGACAGAGCTCGAGATGCCAGCCGGAGAGCCAGCGACGACCGCTCAAAGAAGCACTGCTGGGTTTTTATGAGAGCCTGAATTCCAGTGTGTGACCCTGAAAGAAGCTTGCTTCCTGCTCCAGAGATCTGCCATGGACTTGGGTCCAGAATATCCACCGGCTGAGCTTCCTGACTCAGGTTTACTTTGAGGTCTACGTTCTCTGACCAGCAGTCATTCAGCCGCTCCGTCATCAGTCTGCATAAGCTCAGGTAATACAGAGTGTTGGTCCACCTGCGCTGGAAGCCAGCAGGAGTCAAGGTGTTGTGGTGGAACATCAGTTGGTAGTTTAGTTCTGTGAAGGTCACCAGAAGTCTAGCAGAAAGAACTTCTGCCCAATTAGGGTTTTGCTTGGCTTTAGCTAAAGCAACTTCAACTGAGCCCCAGATGGTCAACAGTCTCTCTATGAGTCGAGTGAAAACTGATCCATCCCTGGTGTCCAGGGATGGACGTGGAAATGCCTGCATGTTTCTCCTCATCTGAAGGCAAAATCCAGACATCTCAGCACTGCAGTGAAGTCTGTGATTATTACTGTAGTTCATCATGTTGCCACAGAGGTGATCCAGTGCTGGAGACCCGGACCCCAGTGTCTCGTTGCTTATGTCTTTGGCTAACAAAAGCCTCATCTTCTGCAGCTCACTGACGAGCTGCATCAGAGCTGTGGTCCTGCATGAAGTCAGTTCGCTATGCGCGGCCTCTGTTGCATCGAGCAGGTCGAAGTTGGAGCTGAGGTCAGGAGACACAGAGCCAAGTAGAGCCAGAAAGGAGAAGAGACAGGCCGTCAGAATCCGCCGAACAGAGAGACTGCTGCCAGAGGAAGTAAATATGGAACATCTGAAACACAGAAAAACAACCGGTTATATTTTCTGATCCAATATGCTTCAGATTTAAAACATCCTGAGCATGTCACAAAGGTTTGGTGACAAGTCTTTGTTTTTTTTCAAGTGGAGGATAGCCTGGTCAGAGGATAGCCTGGTCAGAGGATACCTGGTCAGAGGATACCTGGTCAGAGGATAGCCTGGTCAGAGGATAGCCTGGCCTATGCAGTTTTGCTTGGTTCTCATCTCCCCTCGGTACTCCAAGGGGAGTTGAGGCTAAGAGACTACATGAGACTTGATGAGACTAAACTGGACAAAGAGAAGTACAAAAAAGACAAGCACTAAGGATATATGTAGTTACAATCATAAATCTGTACATCACCAACTAGCATTAAACATTGGAAAAGGAAAATATGAAAAGAATAATAGTAATATTGCTACAACACCCTATTATTTACACCCACTGTTATTTAACTTAACTATGTAAATATGAGTGTGCAGGTGCTGTCTCTGATTGGTTCCCAGAAGACGACGGAGGCGTCCAATTGGTGGCCTCCCGGAGGTGATGGATATGAAAGCTGCAGAGGATGGATGACTTCCTGTCATTTATGTTTCCTTAGGTTTCTCCTGTTTTCTTAGTTAGGGAGGTAAGTTTTTGTCATTTGGTTTCTTTACTTTCAATTAGGTAAGTTGGTTAATATTCAGATAGTCTCCTGTTGTTTGTTGTTTTCGGCATTAGCTCACTCTGAAGACATATGCTCCACTTGCTGTAACATCTCAGTCCAAAAATACATATTTTTAAAATAAATAACAATGCAAATGATGGTCAGTATAATTTTCAAGTCATGAACTATGACAGTGTAGATCAAATTTTACTGAACAAAGCTCCGCATGAAAACAGCAATTTTTTCAAAAATAAAAAACTCAAAATGCACTGTTCCAAATTATTATGCACAGTAGATTTTCTAAGCATTTTATGGATTATAAAGAACTGAATTTTTTTTTTTGCAGCATCAATGCCAAGTGATCACATTAATTTTTAATTTTTATTTTTTTAAATGCAACTCATAGAAAGGAAACAAAAGTATGTGTTTCATAAAAACTGCCATAACAAATTTACTGCTGATCCAGAGATAGAGAACTGAGGCATTACAAAAACAAACGACCTGCTCCATGATCAGATGGTGCCAAATAAAATGTGCTATAAGAAGTCAACTAGAAGAAGAGGCCCCTTTAACATCACTCGATCCTATTTTTTTATTTTATATTATAACTGAGACATCAGTAAGTGCGGACTTCTGGCTCAACTTTGTAAACAGACAACTTCCAGACAGGCTCTGACCTGCACGGCTCCCAGTCGCTGTCCGCGGAGCGCTGCGCCTCCGGGGCCACTCTCCTCCCGCTCCTCAGCAGCCTTCTCTTCAGGGACGCGGAGGACAAAGTCCCGGGTGTGAAACGCTGCTTTTTCATCAGGTCCAGCGTGGACGACATGAGACCGTTCCCTGCGGCTGATCCTGCAGTCAGACCCGCTTCCTTCGGCCGGTTTACGAGCGCGGAGCGCCTCGCTGTCAGCCCGCGGTCAGAGCACAGCTGACCGCGTTCTGCTCACTGCAGCAGCAGATCATCGTCACAAGGCGATATGCACCGGCACGATGCGCCGAACATCATGCATCAGGCGATGTTTGTAACCGCAGTTAGTATTTTGTATTTAATCGCAACTTTCACCGTCAGTGTAGTGCAACATAATGCATCCATATGCATTATCTGAAATGAAATGGTTTCTATAACAATAATAATATTGACTATTATTATTATTATTATTATTAATAGTACTAGTAGTAGAATAGGCCTGTTTTAGTTACTTTCATTTAATCTGTTTTTATACACTGACAATTCTCATAAAAAAGTTAAATTTCAAATGTTGAATTATGTAGAAAAATAAATAAATTGAACTGAACAAATTGAAAAAGTGGTGAGTTAACATCATTTAATGCAGTTCTTTGTATCAAACAAATAAAATGGACAGTATTTATAAAAAGGCCATAAATTGGACTCTGGCACTTCAACATGGTCAGAAGGAGCTGGGCTGTAAACATACTAATTTACGACAACTTGATGGAAAAGCACCTCATCGTGATGCTTTCAGAATAGTTAAAAGTTGATCTGTATGGATATTTTATTATTGTCAATAATAAGAGATATACAATTTTACATCATTCACTGATTAAACCTTTAAGTCACACTGGTCCCAAAATAATCTAAAAACGATTTAGATTACTTTTTAGAATTGCCTAAAAGAAATGCTTATTTATAGTGATGTACAAAAACAATTGACTCCCTATTTGGGGGTTTATTTCTACAACTGCAGTCCTGGCTCTGATGAGTTGAAACCGATTTGAAATAGTGAAACCAGACCTGCTGTACCTCTAAGGTAGAAAGCTGCTGCTCCTGGTTGCTCGAATGGATTTGTTATTCTTAACGGAGTTTGGCTTCAGCTGCAAGAAATGCCTCTACTTCCTCAAGCTGAAAGTCTGAAGCTGCACCAAGAAGCAGATTCTGTGTGTCTGACTTTGTCAAACTGTCTGTACCAGCAGTCACTGAGCAAAAACACAGCGTACATCCTGGACAGGTTTCCCAGGACAACACAGAGACACACACACTCACACCTTGGGACAATTCAGGGACCAGTGGACCTGACGATCATGACTTTTGGACTGTGGGATCAAGCTGCAATACCCAGGAGAATGCATGCATGCAGGAGAACATGGAACCTACATGGAGAAGGACAGCAGGGTGACCAAGCGCCTGCTTCCCTGTGCAGCCCTTTCAAAAAAAAATCAGTTTGTGCGTGTTTCCTACAGCTGCTCTGTTTTTTTTTTGTCCTGTGGATCTTTGTGCTCGGTGGGCTGGGGTTTTGCTTTCGCTTGTTTTTGTTGAATGAAAATAGCTTGACTGTTGTTTCAACTAACGTAACAAGAACACATTTGAGATGAAGGACCCAAAATGCCCGTGGCAAACAGTCAAGGTGCAGCTGTCAGGTCCAGTAGAGCCCAGGTACTAATAGTGGACGTTATATAAGTAGCTACTTTGAATTACTTTTGCCTCTTCCATTTAATGTGTTTGGTTTGTTTCCTGTTATGTTTTTATCATCTAACTCCTACTAACATCGCTCTGTTTGTTGCTTCACAGCCTGTTCACTGACTGGGCCAGATGTTTGACCCTGGATGCTAGAGAACCACCGGAGGAGGACCGGGAATCGAACCGGCAACGTCTCTTTAAAAAAAATGTTGTCTTTAAATCAAACATACACACACAAAGAAAATACTAAAAAGCCTTTCCGGAGCTCCACACGTTTTCATAACTGGTGTGACCCCAGCAGGCTCACTAATCAGCTGGAGATCAGGTCTCCAGGCAGGTTGTTGGTGGACATGGAGAACATGGGGAATGTCCACCAACTGTTTATCAAAACAAACGCGCTTTTGATCCCAACTTGAATTGTTTTTAGCGCCTTTCTGAGAAGCTCGCCTGCGTCCAAAGACACCGTGCCGGGAGTCTCTTCAGAGTAAGGCTGGACAGTAGCCCGAGCGGCCCGGCTGCGGCCGCCGGCCAAAACAGCGGAGCGTGCTTTTATTTTGACGTTTATTGGCGGAAGCCCGCGCGCGCTCGCATTCCGACTTGATCGTTTTGGAGTCGAGTTGTCATGGATGTTGATAACGCCGTTTGAACGTGCAGCGTGGGACCGCGGTGAAAACATGAAGCAGTCGGTAACATCGCGGTTGCCGGTGTGACGAGGCGGTTCGGCGGTGCGCGGAGAATATTGACCGGCGACGGTTCCAGTCAGCCGGCCGCTGTTTCCTCCTCCCAGCGGCGGGAGCGAAGCGGAGCGGCTGTTCAGCTTGGAGCCGCTGAACAAAGAGCTTTTCTTCCCCCGGACCATTGTTACCGTGCAGGGCGCCTGAAACTGATTCCGAACCGGTTTCGGACGGTTAAAGTAAGCCAACTTGTTTGCTTCAGTCCTGCAGGCGCGTGCTGGTGAAATGACTTGAGCCTGGTGTATTTTCAACCAACGCGCGATAAGAAGGCTCCATGTTTGTCGCCCAGCACTGATTTCAGCTCCCGACCAACTGGATTAATGACGTCAATTTCCATTTACTTTGTGCGATTTTGAGCGAGTTAGAAAAGTTCCGACGCGCTCGGTGGAGTTCAAGCTTGGGGTGTAAACAAACCGAACTCAGGAACCTAAACTTAATGTTCCCTCATAAAGCTCGCCTTTATTTATCCCACTTCAAGGCTTCCTTGTTGTTGAATTGCCAAACAGCCGCTGGTCACCACAGCCTGCTGCTTTGTAGTAATGGAGCGCCAAACTCCACTCTAAAATTATCCCGTTTATTTTTATTCTGCTGTTGGTGCAGAAGCAAATGTTTAACACGCCACAGGATTGGATGTGACATCATAGTCTTCCTCACGCAGCGGCTGTGTATCTGCTGAAGAGGATCCTATTTGTTGGAAGAAGTTTCTCTTTTTCAAAGTGCATGGGAAGTGGAGTTGAATCTGCTTGGATAGTGTAGTGTTAAATGTTTCAATCCTTGAGTTTACTCTGACTATGTTTCGTCTGAAGGATTGAAAGTGGGTGACGGGTCCTCAGAAAAAACCTTGAGAAGTGTTATTATTTAAAGGCAGATGGCCGCTCAGAACGATCCTGGTTCTGCTGGAGGTTTTATTCATGTTAAATGGAGTTGTTGTTCATTTCCATAGTCGCCAAATCAGTGCTCAGTTGAGGTATTGCTGCAGAGATAGAGTCTGGATTTTACCTGCTGAGATTAAATCCATCTCTACCAAATGACATTTAAACTGAATTTGGCCACATTATGGTAGAACTGGGATGTATGTTCTTGACTGTATACAGACTTGAATGCATGTTGAGGGATTTGAATCTGTTTGCATGCCTGTCTTATATTAAATTAATTGGTTCCATTTGTTTTCATGAACAGATTTGTCGCGTTATAAATAAGCAGAAGTGAATTGATCAAGAAAGACAATATGGCTGCTTAAAAGCACAATGCAGTTGTTAAGGCATGGGTGAATACTTTTTGATGAATATATTTCTCTGATAAATTAAAATTTCATATTTCAAATAAAATTTGTTGTCAGCTAAGAGAGTAAGTTTGTGTTCTTTGAAATAATATTGACGTTGATATAAGTAAAAAAGTACAGATTGTCAGATATTTCAAGGTTGATACATATCTATCTATCTATCTATCTATCTATCTATCTATCTATCTATCTATCTATCTATCTATCTATCTATCTATCTATCTATCTATCTGCATAAGAGTTTATGATTTGGTTGTTTCAACAAAGTCTTGAAGACTGAGAAGATGGCTGAGAAATGGAGGGAAGGTGTTCTGGTGTCAGTGTAGAATTGTGACAGGTACGGAGGAAACCTTTCACTGTCTCTAGATACCAATACTGAGATTCACTTGTAGCATCTGAAGATGCTCAGGTGTGTCTGTGGGGCAAAAGGAATGATCCCGGCTCGTCAGCCACCGGACACGCTGACTCTGCTGTATTTCTATATTTGATCTCTTTCAGCTTCATGCAGCTGTACTTTGCTGTTGTGTTGACAGGTTTGGGGCGGCCTGTGCTCCAGTCATGACCTCTGGTAACGGGAGCACTGACAGCAGCCAGCACAATGGAGACAGCAAAACGGCTCAGCAAGCCATAGACAAGTCCCACATCCTGACGCACCTGATCGAAGGCTTCGTTATCCAGGAAGGTGCCGAGCCTTTCCCTGTGAGTACCTGGTCAGGCACTGGTCTGTTGGGGACCAATGCGTGCAGTAGCAGAGATTTGGGAACCTTTTCTGACATTCAGCTTCACACCGAAAGTCATTTCTGACTTACAGTAATGAAGGGTGGCTTGATTAGAGGCTAGTCTTTGTTTCCAAAGGTGGTAATCCTTCTGGGAATTTTCCTTGTTTTGATGCCTCAGAATGCATTAATCTCCTTTAGATATGCAAAGCTCTTTTTGTTTCAACAATATAATGCTATTAGCACCATCTTAAGCTGAGGTCAAACCAGCATTTCACCATATTTGGCATTTTTATCAATCAGCTCAATCAATACATTTCTTTTCTGTAGGTGGAGCGTCCATCTTTTTCTATTGAGAGCCTGCGGAGACGGGCAGCAGATTCAAAGATGGATGGCGTATCTTCCAAGGGTAAACATTTTTTTTGTTTTGTTTTTGTTTTTACATCAATAGTAAAGTTTATTTTACAGACAGACAGACACTTATCCTGAGAAATGTCTGTGGAATACATCAGGGAGATGTGCTGGGAACTGTGAGTTCTTCATCGTTGAACTGAAGTTTTGTTCTCCAGCTGTGCTGCACAATGCAAGTGAACTGGAATAGAGTTGTTGAAAAGTGTGTCTCCTTGCCTTCGTCCTTGTTTTTCCTCGTCTCAAGAAGAGTCTTTCAGTTCTAGAGAAGGAAAACGGGGGAATCGTCTGACGATGACTTTGTGTGCTGTCTCTGTGTCCTCTCAGAGCTGAAGGCCCAGCAGGAGCCCATGTTGACCTGCGAACTGTGCGGTAAGGTGGACTTTGCCTACATCTTCAAAAGATCCAAGAGGTTCTGCTCCACAGTGTGTGCTAAACGGTGAGTCCGATTCATTTTTCATTCTGAGTTTTTTCTCTTTTTTTGCTCTGATCCAAATAAAATCTCTACTTTATTGGGGCGTTCTGGCGAGCATCGAGTCATAAACACACAACTGTTTAGTTGGACCTTATTTGGATGAAGGAATATTTGGGCCCTACTAGTTATACTCTTACTAGAAAAAAAGTGACATGGTGATAGCGTTGAAATAATGTGAGCAAAAGTGATATTATTAGAATCAAGGCTTCCTATTAGGAGGATGTAGCAGTAACTCTGCAACATGAACATATTACAGGTAAAGGAAATAATCTTTCATCACATCAGCATCAAATGATTTTCAGAACATTGAAATGACTAAGAAAGCAAATGTGTCTGTTTTGAAGAAGGAACAACTTAAAATAGATGGGTCACATCTAATCTGCATAACTCCCTTCAAAGCTTTTGTCTCATTAAAATGACCTTTTTTCCTTGTATTTTCAGGACTTTCTTTTGCATCCTTGACTATATTGTAATTAAACAAAATACTTTGTAGCCTGGCCCTATTGCTCTATGTTACAACTCGCTATGTTACAACTCGCATAAAAGATGAAAGCTACTTTTTAAAGCTATTTTCTGTCACTTCTAATTTCTTTTAGAAATGAAAGCTCCAAAAAAAAATTAAATGAGAAATTGGATATGGTGTGAAAAAAATCAGAGATTTTATTTTCATCCCCTTATTTCTATATGTCTCTCCTTTTCGCTTTTTTCCTCATTTAAGCTTCCGCTAGTCAATCAAAACTCAAGATTGACGAGGGGGACTTGTCCCCAGTCTAATCCTGCGACTTTCAGATGCATTCCTGCTTCAACGCTCATTCAGGTGGTCAGAGAACTGAGTTCCATCGTCTGCAATGTGCAGCAGTGCTGCACACTTAATGAGCCGTTCATTTAAATCAGGCGGGTTGGACAAGAGCTTTAGTTCAACTTTTAGTTAGCTTTTTGGCCACTCTTCTCTGCAGTAGAGCTTTTATGAGCATGAAGGGCTTCTCAGTGGTCACAGCAGAGCTCCTCCAATTTGATTTATGTCTAGACAATGACTTGGCCTCTTCAAAACCTTCATTGTTTTTTGTGCTTTTCAGCCATTCAGAGTTAGACTTGGCGTTCCAAGTCGCACATTCTCCTTCTGGATTTTATGAATCCAGCAGAATTCTTGGTTCCGTCAATCATAGTAAATTGTTCAGGTCCTTAAGCAGCGCTCTCTCTCAGAAGCCTTGAAGATATAAATTAGGCCTGACTCTTCCTCTTTTCTTTTCATTTCAACCATTAAAAACAAGGCTAGTATCAATAATAGATTTAATCTGTAATGTAGCTCTACGAAGATTCCTTTCTAGTTCAACTTTACGTAGCTTTCGATTTCAAGAGTGACTTTTTTTTACGCGACGCTGCTCTGTGAACCTGGAGACAAATAAAGCATGAGATTCGTCTTAATGACAAACACAAGACAAGTCCTTCTTGTTCAAGAGGCAAAACCATTTTAATCAGCAGAATCATGTTTGTTTAGGCCGACCTTCACAAAGACCATAAAAGTGGCAAAGCTTAAAAAAAATCTCTCATTATGAAGTTATTGTGTCTTTTTTCATCTATTTTAAATAAGTCAAGACGTGGAGGTTCCTTTAACTTTAGTTTAACGAAGTTGCAACCATGACTAAGCAAATCAATGGGAAAACATTGCACTTGCACTACTCTGTTAGCTTAGATCATCTTTTCAATATTCTAAAATATTCCTGCAGCTACAATGTGGGATGCACAAAGAGAATGGGTCTCTTCCCGAACCGCAGAACCAGCCTGGAGAACCTGAAGAGACGAACGTTAAATGGGAATTACAAAAACAGCAGCCTGGAGTCTAAAAAGAAGGTGAGGCGGCTGGAGTCGTTTTATTTGACATATTGTTGTGTGGAAGATTTCTGCACTTTCATAATTTACATGATGAATCCAACTTTGACGGTACGAAGAGGAACCGGTCTGCAAAACAGAGCACAGAACTCCTTTCGTCACTATTTTCAAGATTTATAATAAATGAGGCTTAAAATTGTTGGTTTTTATATATTTGTAAAAACAAAAAAAAAGCATTGCAGTTTTATAGAAAACAGTAAATGAATAAATGAAGCACCTCTACATCCTGCTTGTGGTCTTACTGCCATTTGCAGAAACCAATCAGAGGCAGGGGGAGGGCCTTAAAACTGCTCAACTCCTACTGAAAGAGAAACGACTCACCTTTCCAGGAAACCTGTTCGTCCGCTGCTCCCTGCTGTTAGCCTTGCTAACTAGCCTTAGCATTCACCGCAGACTCTGGCATGGCAAAGGAGCCACTGTTTAGCTTTGGACGAACCGTCTTCTCTGAACCTGACCTCAGGTTTTGGTTCACGCTTCAAATGTTGGAATGAGCTGATTTCCTCGTTTCTGTCAGATTGCTCCCTCTGCTGGTCACACTGTTCACCCTGCACACGGAGAGTCCAGTCAGTGCTCAGACCTGTCCAGCTATAAAAGAGTCCCGTCACCCCCCCTGTCTACGGCCCCTCGGGTTCCTGCGGTGCAGACCCCCGACCTCCCGCCTCACCCCCACAGCTTTGTGCACAGCGACCCGGGTCAGTGGAACATCCAGGACGTTTATGGGTTCATATCCTCCCTGCCAGGTGGGTGCAGCGCGCTGGTCCTTCCTACTGTGCAACAATTGATTTCGTGATACTTTTTATTAAACTAAAACTTGTGCACACAAATTTGAATTTATTGAAGATTTTCTTGACTGTATGCAAGGTCAGAACTATATTTGAACATACAGTTTCAAATATACGGGGGAGGGGAGTATTTAGTATTTAGGGGAGTATTTAGTCAGCCAGTAATTGTGCAAGTTCTCAGAGAGACCTGTAATTGACGTCGTAGGCAGACCTCAACTATGAGACAAAACGAGAAAACATAAGTAGAAAATCACATTGTCTGGCGTTTTAAGAATTGATTTGCAAATTATGGTGGAATAAGTATTTGGTCAGTAACAAACAAACGCAGGCGAACGAGAACCACCACACCGTACCCTGACATGAAGGCTGCCGTTGTTGTTGGTCGCAGGCTGTCTGGAGATTGCGGAGGAGTTCCGCTCTCAGGAGATTGACGGACAGGCTCTGCTTCTGCTGAAGGAGGACCACCTCATGGGAACCATGAACATCAAACTGGGCCCAGCTCTGAAAATCTTCGCTCAGATTAGCATGCTCAAAGACTCGTAGCTCGTCTCTGTTACTGACCGGACACGGCAGGCCTGCTCAGGATCTTCAGACATCCATCATGACCTCAAAGACTTTCTCGGTGTTTCCTCGTCTCACCTCTTACACGTTCACACTGCTTCCGGGACTAAAGGTATTCTCTGCTGGAGACCGATGCTGGTTCCAAGAATCCACATAGATTTGGTGACGTGACCATCCAGCAGGTCCACTCCTTACTTCAGGTCAGCAGCAGTCTGATGTCTTCACTAAAGACACTTGCTTGATCAGAAGATCAGGACTTTCTCTGTGCTGTGTGTGCAAAGCATGACTGATGGCTTAACCTGCACAAGTCACTTCCCTGTGAAACAGCAGAAAGCTGCTAAAGTAATGCTGCCTTCCAACGTGGGCTGATTACAGTGTACCAGTTAGAACCAGCTGGTGGCAGTTGGACCGTCAACCAGCCGTCAGTCTGGTCCCACTGTCCCGGCCTGTGGACACGGCAGAAGAGAAAGGGGGTTGTTTTTCCCCCGGCTGTGTTTCCAGCTGTTTGATAATCACTGCTCTGTCCTGCTGTGTCCTCAGACAACGCGTTGTCATGTTGGACATTTCAGGAACAAAGTCTCTTCAACCACAGTCTGTTTCCTCACTGCTTTGTTAAAGTTGCAGTATGTAACTTAAAAAGAAAAGTTTTTTTTTTTACATATTTGTTGAAGCTGTCAGTATGCCGTGACAGTATGGTATGAGACAATCTGTGAAAAAAACATGCAACTCCTCTGCCTTTTCCCAGTGCTGTCTAGGAACAACCAATCAGAGCCAGGTCCCTCCCCACTTTGCTCTGTGCTGAGATGCAGATTCTCCCCGTCAGCTGCGTCTGACGGGGACGGTAGTCATGGCATGACTACCATTGATGGCGGATAAACGGTTTTCCTGTAATAGTAAGCCGTTTCTCCACCATTAACATGTCGAACAGCATTGATTGACAGCACTAAGACCCTCCTCCTGGCTCTGATTGGTTGCTTTTCTGCATTTCTGCAGAGGCAACAGTAGCTCAGGGAAGAGCTGGAGAAGATCTGTCTTTTCTCAGATTATCTTTCTCATGTTATACTGTATTTGAACAAATCGGTAAAAAAACATTTTTTTAATTAAAGTCACATAATGCAGCTTTAAATCTAACAGTCCTGAATCAGAACTACAGTGTTTACAACTCAGATGGAAGTTTATGCTGAAGCAATTTAAATATAAACTTGACAATAAAAAAAATGGCTGTAGAGAAAGAAAGGAGTATATATCCCAGGTTATAAACCATCAGGATGGAATACAAGTGGTTTTGACATTGGAAAATCTATTGGCTATGGTGCGAGTAAGAGGTGGGGTTGACCTTGGACAGGTTACCAGTCTATGCCAGACAACATGCAGGACCAGTTAACCTCCCAGTTCTGTTTCTGGACTGTGGGAGAAAACCTTCTTACTGTGAGGCACCAGCTCTACCAGCCCACATCTGGAAATGTTCAGGTTCCGGTTTCGCTCACAATCAGACGAGGATGCATCTACCAGCTGTTTTCTGCTGCTCTCCAAAAACTGATCCACACCTCAGAATGACACTGATAAACACTGAGACATGCAAGCTGTGATTTGTTGTTGCATTGATCCTCTACTTCTCTGCATAATGACGGGAGGGTTACCAAAATTCTTTGATGGGACTCAGAACTGAAGATTTAATGTGAAAATCCTTAAGTTCTGCTTTGCGTCTGTTTTGTCGGTGAATGGATGAATGATCTGGCTGTAAATGTTCCGTTCACTTCCTCTGGTGCTGCTCTGAATCAACCTCACTCAGAGCAAACAGAACCACCCCCTCCCTTCTGGCAATTATATGAAAGCCTATGCACACAAATGTGACTGCAATAAGTGCCTGTGGGAGTGGAGAAATAAAGCTGCCAAAATTATGGCTGGGAATTAGAGAATACACAACAAAAGACTTTCATCATCAAGCCTTTACCAAAGTCATGTGGAACTGAAGCCAGAGATGCTCTGCTGACATACTGCTAGATGTGAATGGTGACGCTCTCCTCTAGATAGACTGTTTCAGTCCTTGGACATGTTCTCTGGCCTTACACACAAAACACACTTTAATAAAGTCAATAGATCTGTTCGTTACGTCTGACTCACTGTTTTTATTTTAATGGTGGTGAATATTTGGAGTTTGAAGACCTACAGGAACTCTGCGGATACTTCTCTTGGTACATTTCAAATAAAACTAAATTAACTCTTCAGCAAGATATAAAAGCCCTTAAATGAATAATTACTTAAGTACTGGTTCTGCTGGCAGATTTTTTTCCCCCTTTGCCAAAAAAATAAATAACTCAGATTTTTGTAGCTGAATCTATCAGAAATACCAAAGAGAACAATTTGACAGAAAATAAGCCTGGTTTAGGAGCTTTTTGAACCTAAATGACTCAGTTTTCACAGACTCCTCCTGCTGCTTCTTTTTGCATTCTGAACATTTTACCTTTAACTTTTTTTGTCTAAGAATTCCCGTTAGAAGATTAAACTTTGTGCTAAAGAGTCTTTAAGAAAGTGACAACACAAAGCAACATTTTAATAAGTGATTTATTCTCCCCAAAATAAACTCAAATCAAACTTTTAAGCACAAAGACTTCAAGTACAAAGCATTGGGATTATTGCAAATGTTCAATAAATTAACTTATTTCTTCATTCAGACATACTCAGTAGTTCACATTAAAGAAGAAATAAAATAAAAAAAAAAACAGACCCATAAAGAGAAACGGAACAAAAATAATTCACCTGGTAAGTGAAAACCGAGGCAAAAGGGCCAAGTGGAACTTCCATGTGTGAACAGAGGAATCAGTTTTAATGTTCTGTCTGGAAGGGTGGAAAAGCCCAAAGAAGATTCAATACACCCTGCATTCCCAGAATAATCTATTTCCCAAATACAGCGAGGAAGCTGTCCATCAGGGTCCAGTTCCCAAGTGAGTCTGATGCTGGGGATAAATCCAGAGTAGGGGTCAAGGGTCAGGAAGACCAGAGCGACACTTTCACAGAAACCTCCAGAGCTCGAGTAAAGGTTGAAAAACCAGGCAGAACATGACTCGTCAAAGCTGATAATGGTTAGATGTTAGGAGAAATACTGAAAATGAGAAGTAAAGATGGTGAACTGGAGAAAGGTTAGATGCTTCAGTTTAAAAGGAAAAAAAAAACTGATGGAAGAGGCTAAATATGAGCTAACGAGCCACCAGAGGATGGACTTTGTTCACATGAGAAGCTAAACATAGTGGCTGCCAGTCAACCAGAGGAAGGAGCTGCGTTCACCAACTCAAACAGTCTTGCCTGCGATTCTGCATCCTGCTTGAAGCTGTCGCTACACCCCATGTTTCAGTCAGTCACAGAACTGTAGCCACAATTCGTCTAGAACTCACCACAGTCACATTTTCTCCGTCAGAGCCAGATTTTCACTTTTTCTCTCTCTGGGGAAATCTTCTAGGTTGGATGATATTGTTAAATGAAGCATCAAACTGTTTTGGATGGAAAAAGTTGTCATAAGGTGGACAAATCTACAACTGGGTTGTTTTGCAGCCAGAAATACAAACTTTGACTTGAAGCTTGTTTTAAAAAAATAAAACTTTGTTACAGAGATGGAAATAAACTATTTTCCTAGTAGCTGGATAGACAACTCCTTTACTGGGGTCAATGTTTGCAATGACCCCAATGCAGAACGACATTAACACTGTTCATTTATCACAAGTCACCAACTGACTTAGCATATCATAGCCTTTCTAAAAGAAAATCACTTTTTGACAAAAGTAATTTTTGGCAAGGAATGACTCAGGCCATTCGTTTTAGAAAGGTGTTAATATAGAAAATCATGGCCGCCTTTCTAATGGAGGACTTTCAGGAGCTTTTCTGCGAGTTGGAGAGATTATACAATTAGCAGATGATCATCCAGACTATGTGGCGGATAAAGTCGAAGAATTGCTCGAATGCCAAACATCGATTCAAACTAGTGGAGTTAACTTTCACAGACTATTTCATTGTCATGCCTCAGAAATAGGAACCGTGAAATAAATAAATATACATCTGATTAACTGATATTCCAAGTGTGTATTTAAAATATTCAATGGCATATTTAAACATCTGATTAAGAATTTATTACAACTTAATGTGTTAATTTTGTACTTTTTTAATCCTCCATACAGGCATGGATGATCCAGCCCTCCCTACCTTTAATTAACAGTCCTTTTGTTGTGTCTGCAGTGCTTTACACACACACACACACAAAAAAATCGATAACATATACCAACTTGACAAAAAATTAATTTAAAATTATATTTAGGCACTTTGTTACCACCAGCATCAAACTATTTACTCAAATATTTATTTTGTTATATTAAAACCAGATAGATAACCTGGTTTTTAAATATTTTTTTCTGCACAACGCCATCAGAAAACATGCCTGCTTAACACACGGAAGCCAGGTTTAAAGAAGTAAATGGTGAAAGGAAAAACTTTGCATCCTTTAATAGTTGTACAAGTTCTAATGAAATGTGTGACAGATAAACAGAAGGCTGAAACTGCTGGTTTCCACTGGATGACCTGAATAGATTCAGCTCTTCCTGTTTGACCTGGTGGCTCACACCACCATGTCTGAACCAATCAGGACTGGTTCAGTCCTGATTGGTTCATATTCAGTTCTAACTTACAACTTGGGATTTCTTTTTAAAGCACAATTTCAGTATACGTACTCATGAAGAGTAATTAAATATTTTTGTGAATGCTATTGCTAATTCCAGCCCTGTGGTTTGGTTTCCCAGCTGATTTCTGGGCAATATTCTGCCATGTTGGATGTTATTTTCCATAAAACACAGCAGCTGAGTTGGAGGTCAGAGATTTTAGGATCAGAACAAACAGCAAACAACCCACCCACCATGTCAATATGTCCACAACAACAGCAAACCTGCGCTGAAGCTACGCTTAAGCGACCTCAGAGGAGTCGCGGCAGTCGTCTTCCCTTTTGCTGGAGACCTGGTGGAGTCAGAGCGGAGTGTTAGAACAGGTGAGGCATGGCGTAAACTGTCTGCCCCCACCCCTGACTAGACACAGAAGAGGAGGAGAATGGCAGAAGAGCAGGAGGAGGAAGAAGTGTGAGCAGTGAAGAACCAAAGCCACAGGTTTGTTGTTAATTTAACCATGTGATTCAATATAAAACATTATGAAAAAGGCAGGAAAAAAAAAAATCAGAAAGAGTCCAAGCAGAGACAGAGCAGTTCATGCATTCAGAGTTCTGCCCGTCTCAAGAGTGCGGCAGGTCCACCCAGCTGCTGGGCACCACAGCTGGAAACAGCAACTGACACCCGAACCGAGCCAGAGGCGTCTCTGCAGGCCTCGGCCCTCCTCAGGGAGGAAACAAAAAGCTGTGAAGGGCTCCGTCATGCCGACCTCACCCTGCTTCCTGATGAATCCCAGAATCCTCTCTGAGGATGTTCCTCCAGGTGACTTCCTGAGCACCAGGCTCTGATCCCTGATCGCAGCGTCACCATACCAACTCATCAGACCGCAAGGAGTTACACTCAGAGTAGCTCACTGATCACACTGAGCATCAATGGTGTGTGTGTGTGTGTGTGTGTTGTGGCATTTGTGTCTCGATTAGAGGTGTGGAACAAACGAATTTGTCTGCATTAAGACAATCAATATAGTTCTTGAAAAACTATTGAACTGTAATAATGATAATGAATTTCACATTACATGTGGTATAATGAAGTATTAGGGCCAAGCCAAGAACGCTTTTTCACTTCAAGAATCTCGTATTACAAAAAGCCATATGACAATAAAGTCACGACAATACAAGAATAAAGTAATAATATTACCAGAATATGGTTGTATAGTTGGAGAATCAATTGGTCATTTTATGAGAATTTCTCCACAAAAAATAATCACAAAATAAAACGGGAAATGTTAAGCAACTTGTAAAGTTATACTTTAGTATTGATTTAACAAATAAAGGCATACCTAATCTTTTACCACATTAGAGTTAAATTAATTTGAGCAGCAAGATTTTGAAACATTTCTGCAAACAGAGAATATTTCAAAGAAAGAATCAGGGACTTGCTGAGCTGGTCACGTTAGATCCTAATAGTTACCAAAGCTTTTTTTCTCGTTAAAGCAACTTTTATTTTTAAACTTTCATCTGGTAATGTTGCATCTTTATAATACTAATATTATAACTTTGTTATAATTAAATAAATACATTGAAAACAATCTTTCACTCTGGCCCCAACACTCCTTGGTACCAACAAGGTCTTAGGTGTTTGGTTGTGTGAATTAAATTTGTACTTTTCACGAAGACTTGAACGGGACTGACCGGAGTTGGACTCCATACTGGATTATAGAACTGATCATCTGATTCTGGCACAGAGATCGGAACCAATCAGCCCAGTTAAAGATGATAACCGAACCCCAACTTGGTCTGGTGTCATTTTATTTCTCTGGTTTTATCACCATCACTTGTCATCTAGCCCACAGCGCCTCCTACTGACTACATTACACCATTTGTGAATCATTGGGCTGCTCTTCAACATGAGGCTACAAGTTTCAAGGACAGATCTGCAGCAATGGAGGATTCTGATCCGGCCCATCCAAGCACTCAGAAGTTCTAGTAATCTTCTGAACTTGTCTGGATCAATAGTTCTAAAGCTTCTCTGGTAACTTTACTGCTGTTTTCCAACATTTTCAGCCAGTTGTTCAACATGTCGGAATATCCTAAACTCCGGGGACGTAAAAATTAGAGCTAGGAGTTCTAAGAAAAGAAAAACCTCCCTCTGACACGTTGCTTCAGAAAGTCTGGAGAACTACAAATGGGGAGCTCTTTAACACTTTACAAGAACGTCTGATTGCTGGGAAGAAAAAAAACTGAAAAATTGGGGTTGACCAGGACTTCTGGATGTTCTTATTTACTTTGAAAAACCATCAGATGATAATTTTCATAAAAATGGAACACCTCTTCCAACAAACTCAAACGGGCAGAGATGAAGAACAAAATATTGACAAAGGAAAAGATTTCTTGTGCTTGTTGTCCTTCCACAGCGACCAACGTTTCATTCCAATCCACGGCGGACGTGAAGAGAGCAGGAAGTGTGCCAACGAGATGCTGGAAGCCAGACATGCCGCCCATCTTACAAAAAGGATTCAGCTTGGATCGTTTCATTGTTTGCAGCTGCAGAGCACCAAGTCCTTCCACCCAGAACCAACGCTGACCAATCATCTCTCAACAGAGGGGGAAAAAGGAAAGTGTTTAAGGCTATGGCGGCCCACTCTGGTGTTCACTCACAGAAACTCATTTCAGACCAAGAGCCCCAAAGAGAAAGTGAGCAGAGAGAAGACACGCTGAACACAAACAAGAGAGCAGATCAGAGTGAAGCTGGCTTTTGTCAGCGCCGTTTATACCTTACTCCTGAAGAGAGGCTTGGCGCCGGGGCCACAGTACTCGTTGTAGATGAGCTTAAACAGGAAGAGGTGGAACAGGGTGATGAGCGACGCCACACTGAACCAGAACAGAAAGGGCAGGCCGGGGTATCTGTTCGCCATGTGCTCCTCGTGAGCCAGAATGGCCTTGAGGTGCAGCGTGTGGCGCAGGTCCTGCAGGTGGCGCAGGTCGGTGGAGATGTAGAGCAGCGGCGTGATGGGCTGGGTCACCATGACGGGGAACGTGTGGCCTTTGACCTCAGATGTGAGCTCGACGGGCTCATTGAGGCAGCCGGCCTCGCAGGCGTACAGCTTGACTGCCGCTTCCTGCTGCCGCACCGACAGGTGCAGGAAGGGCTTCCCCTCACCGTCCAGCAACACAGCCAGGTTGATCAGGTCCTGGTTGTAGTGGATCCCCCGCAGGGCGTAGCTGTTGTGCAGCACATCCGGGTCGGCCTGGAACTGTAGGTGGTTCTCTGTGAACTGGAGGCCGCCAAAGCTGAGCACCATGCCCTGCATGGCCCCGTGGGCGCCGGCGGCAACCAGCACCTTGCAGCCCCTCTTTTGCAGGGTTAGGGTCCACAGCGTGACCAGCTGCAGGATCTGAGCCGTGCTGCTCACACGCTCGGGCCACAGGTTCTCGGCATGCATGGTGGCGTGGCCGCTGAAGCAGTGGTCAGCGTAGTTGAGGCTGGATACGAGGCGCGCACGCTCCTCCGCGCTCGGCCGCTGGTCGAGCAGAGGCGCCGTGGAGGAGGACAGGATGTAGTAGAGGGTGTTGTTCACAGTGCGGCTGGATGGCGTGTGGGAGTCTGTGATCTTTCTCATTTCGATACCTGAATTCAACAAACAGAATTTCACCGGGTAAGCAGCTGGGTTTCTGTTCCAAATGTGTGCAAATATTTGTCAATATTCTGCTTATGTAAAAAAAAAAAAAAATCAAAAAACAAAACACAATTTCACATTTATTGTGTTTCAGCAGCTGCCTTGGGTCTGCTCAAATTTTGTGATCAGCCTTACATCGTGTTTTTGTTTCTCAGGCTCATTACTTTGAGATTTAAAAGATGTACAAAAAATTTTTTGGTTTACTAGCATTGTTTGGTTTTTTTGTTTGTTTGTTGATTTTAAACCTATAGTTTAAAATATAGTTGTGTTTTTAAGTATTGTCCACAATGTCTTTAGTTAACCAGTCATGTTTTACAAGGTAACATTTTTCAATACAAAAAACACAATGAGCTGCTGGTGGACTGAGCTTAGCAAGTTCTCTGGGGGAAGCCCGGAGGACTGCACTGATGAACTGGCCTTAATTTTCAGAGATCAGACTATACTTAAATGTGAAGATGATCTTATCCACCTGTTTTATCTACCTGAGCAAAGGTCTGAAAGAAAATATTGACCACTGTCCTCTGTTGTTCTGCTGTGACACAGGCTTGCCTGACAGACCCACACTCCAGGTCACGTCTGCATGTCTGCAGTTAAGAATTGCCACCCCACAGTTGCCAACTCCAGGACTTTCTTTCTATATATAGCAACATTTCAGACAAACACATTTGTGTGGCAGGTCAGGCTTTGTAAAGATCAGTGATCAGCCAGAAAACTGTAACCGGTGCAGGTCTACTTGACTGTGCTATAAAATAGCACCATGTGTCTAGAATATACATAACATGAGCTCCTTTAAGAACTTCAGGAAGGCATGAAGGATTGAGTGATGGGCTGACAGTTTAGCACAAATCTTGATGATGTTTGACTCAAAACGGTAAAAACAGAGTCGGTGAGCTTCTTACCTGAGCTAAAGAGGTCCATCCAGGCCTGCTGGTGTTTCTGAACCAGTTCCTTCACGTCAGCCCTCAGAAGCTCCTCCATCTCCTTCTTGGCGCCATCTCTGAGGCTGCTGAATGTCGCCTCCAGCTTTGAGGATTCGATGGGCTCTGAGGTCCAAACCACCGACAGGATGTTGTCCGAGTACTCGGATTTTGCAGCGACCTGGATCCTGTTCTTCAGCTTTCTGGTGACCACCACCACCAGTACGACCTGGCTGTTCTCCACCTGCACCGTCCCGGAGGACAGCTCCACCTCCCTGTCATCGAGCGTGTCCACGCTGGAGGAAAACCTGCTCCTCGATCCTGGGCTGGCGGGTGAGATGTCCACGTTAGCGACCCGATCTGAAGGGTTGTTGATGTGGATTCGTTGCAGGTACACGTTGGGTCGGCTCCGGTGGGCGATGAACTCCTCTCGGATGGACACGCAGTCCCGGGCGGACTGCACCGCGGCCGGCGAGGCGCACCGGACCGAGAGCACTGCTCCCTTCCGGTACCCCAGCAAGGTAGCGTCAGCCTCGGCCCGTCTCCCCACAAGGTGGACGTTGACCCTCGGAGAGTGTTCGGTCTGGTGAACCGGGGCTGAGCCCGGCTGTGAAGACGAAGCCACCCACAACTTGTTGGCGTCCACGTCGATGAGAATATGGCCGTTCCCCGTCACGAAAGGCGTGTCCAGCGGCTCAGACTTGGTGCTGTAGATCCCCTCTCCTCGATCCGCTATGGACTTCCACTTGTGGATCTCACTCTGGAGGCACTCCCCCGCCGCGCCGCCGGGCACAGCCGAACCGCCCAGGAATGTCCACCTGCGCTCTGCCCCCAGGTACCAGTAGAAGATGAGGAAGATGAGCAGTCCGATGAGGACCCTTCGCGCCCAGCTACTCGACAACAAGCCCGGAAGCCCCTTCAGTCTCTGCTGCAGCCACATTTTCTGTTCAAACGACGGAAGTCCCCAGATGCGAGTCTGCGTGTCAACAAGACACTCCGAGAGCTTGAGGGTCACTTTAAAGTCTTGCATTCATTTCAGGTTTCAGGTTCTGTTCAGGAAGCTGCATTTATGCCGTTAGATCAAGTTCCGACAGACAGAGAGGAGTTCAAGAAGCCGCATTAACTTTAAGGTTCAGTTTCCTCCGCTGAAGGTAAACTGAAAGTGTTCCATTCAGTTTAGTTGTCAGGCTCCACCGGGGAGGATAGCTTAGCTAAGTAGCTCGCGCTGAGAACCAACTCAGGGGAACATTTCTTTCTCACATATTTTTAACTCTTACATTCTTCGCCAAGTAAGCATGAAGCTCATCAAAATATCACGTCCAATATATTTTAGTTGCGTTAGTTAGTCAACCCGAAAAGAAATCACCTGACGTTGTAGTGCACTCCAACGGCTGACACTTCCGGTAGTTTCTTCTTCTTCTTCTACTACTACAACTACTACTACTACTTCTTCTTCGTCTTTTCTGTTTTTATGGCGTTTGGTGCATATAAGTGCATTACCGCCACCTTCCAGATTGGCATATGAAACAACTATTACAATCTCCCCATAATACCTGTTATTTTTAGAAAACTAAAAGCACTGCTAAAAACTACATCCCCGGATGATCTCTGAAACAATTCCCTAATATCTAATTTATTTGTATTCCTACTTAAAAAGATTTTCCCTCAAAAAAGAAGTTCAAATCCTTGTCCTACATTTGGGACACAATTGTGATATCGATAGGAATTTATTTTTCTTAAGAAAATATGGAGTCGTATGTTGTCTGTCTGTTATCTTATATTGAATTTCTTCAAATGTATTACTCAAAAACAAAGATTTGAATCATTTCCCAAACCTCAAAATATACTAATCAAGCACGTTTTTATGACATAAAAAGCAATATACTAAGTTCATCTTAAGTTGTCAAAAAAGTATGTTGAAGTTCACTTAGTAGACTTTAAATTGTACTTTCATACAATTTAAATACTATGAAAGCACACTAAGCACAAAATTTGTTGTTCCAAAATGTCACACGTCAAAGTTAATTCTTCCTAAGTGAATTTGAAGTATATGTAACTGGATATGTGTCACATACAGTATATGTCACATATACTCATGTTCAGTCTGACTTAAAGTATGCTCCAGTATGTTAAAATGTAACATACTAAGTAGGCTACATTAATTTGTACTAAGTATGTTAGTACAAAAAAGTAACATACTAGTGTGTTAGTGTCAAGGTAAATGAGCAAAAGTAGTCAATGAGAAAATTAGGTCGTTTTCTTGTAATTCAATACCAATTTTCTCAGCAAACTCTGCCCCAGCATTATAACAATGGGGCATTCACTCAGCCTGTAGGAAAGTGGGGAAAGTCTACGTGCAAGGAATCATGTCCTCCAGACAGGAGGATCATGTCCTCCTTTCCCCAAACTTTTTATCCCACCCACTCCTGGAGAGGGTGGTCCATTCACACCATGGCCTAGAAGTGTTTCAGTTCAAAAACGCCACAACAACGAGACTCTTATAATATTATTTCACGGATGTGAAGGTGCCGCTGGTTGCACAGACACGAAGAGCGGAGTGGTGGAAAGAGGCCCGCGGGGCTGCGAGACTCGTCCAGGGCGTACAGTCAGTCAGCGAGGCTCTCGGTCCGGGACCAGGCTGCACACAGGAAACCTCCGCGCACTTTGGGATTCCGCCGCATATTTTTGTGAACTCCGGTCGACATGGAAGTCTCGCGTTTCCCCATCCTTTCCTGGGTGTGTTTATGTGCGCTTTCCTCGCTGGCGAGCTGTGAAGACCCGCGTATCCCGGAGGGTAAGTTGGAGCCGTCCGCCGGAGCCCACGCTCCCATCCCCGCCGGGTCGTGTCGCTCAGACCGCTCTCGGCTGCTCTCGGTCTGTCGGCGCGCTGTCCAGCTCCCCTTACCGGGGTGAAGTTCAACTCGCTCGGTGTGAGCGAACCGGTTGTATCGGTTCGCCTAGAGAACGTTCCAGTAGACTCGGGTCGGTTAGATAAATGTACTTCAGTCGTGACGGTTTTCAATTTATAAATAAAAATAAATAGCCTAGCTATATATATGTATATATATTAGTTGCTTTCAGCTCAGAACTCAGTCCTGAAGTTCACTTCTGATTCACACCTAATAATAAAGAACTATTGAACTGATTCAACCTTGACGGGCTTAATTAAACATTACTGACCTAGTGTACATTGACTGCAAAATCAAATATTTGTAAATAATTTATTTGTTAAAAAAAAACGAGAGTTGCCCTGTTTTGAGGACTTAGCATTAAGCATTGTGTCCTGCTGAACTTGTCAAACCCATCATTAATTACAACAGAATGGAGGAAGTTGTTTTATTCCATTGTTTTTACAAAACACAGTTGTACAAGTATTTGCCAATCCGGTCCAGTTTCCGTTATGTATTTTAAGCTGTGAATGGCAGACGCTCCCCGACAGAAATGATCCAGGCAGAGGCCAACTTCTTCGCTCTTCCACGTCGCTGACGTGGACGGAATCCCGCGGAGGACCGAGGGATCCGGTGGAAGAGCCCGCGGCTCCCGCAGCTTCTTCTCTACGTCATCAAACACCCGCAACGTTTAGTGGAGCTCAGGTCGCATATTGTCAGAACCTGGAGCTGTGCAGAAACAGTCCTCAGCCAACTGAAGAGAGACATGCATGTTCAGATATTACAGTTACATTGCAAACATTCGTCACTTATGTGCTCCAGCGATCTTTCTCCAGACATAACACATTTCTTTATTATTATTATTATTATTATTATTATTATTATTATTATTTAGAAGCAAATGATACTGGAATAAAAAGACTTTTTTTTAAGAATTTTTAACACGAGTTTTAAACAGTGAAGAGACAAACTGTCTTTGCAAAAGTATTATTTCCAGCAAAAGTAGTTGACACATACAGCTTCTTGCAGCCCAGAGTACACAGCTCTGGAAAACAGATTACACGCTTTACACACTTATTCACACAGGAAGTGATGTCTATCTAGATCAGAACACACTGGAAGACAAGCACATGGAGAATCTAGGCATTTTTGTATTTTGTATTTTTTTTTGTGCTGACATGAAAACAATTCAAGACTTCATTGCTTTTTTCCTGTAAGTTCGGTTCGTGTTTCCCTCTGGTTCTCTGCCAAAGAAATGACTCGTGCCCAGAGTCATTTAGCTCCAGTTTCTTACTTTGTCTGTCGTGAACAGACCCGTTATTCTGTGAAGGACAACCTATAATTTACAGCCAAGCAACATTTCAAAGTTGAAACAAACAAGTTTATGTGTTTACGGGCACTTTTTTTCTAGAATCTAAAATATCTGTGTTGCGGGACATGAAGCAAACCATTTGACCGCTCTTCCATCTCATAATTTTTTCGCCCAGATAAACTCTTAGTTTTGACTGTTGCAACCAAAGAGACTGATGGCTTCAGGCGTTTCCTGAGGTCGGCCAAGCACTTCAACTACACTGTAAAAGTAAGTCACAGCTTCTCCATTTCTTTAGGTGAAGGTGAAAATAAAACCCTAATTGTAACTGTTTTGTGTTGTTTTTCCAGGTCCTCGGCCAAGGCGAGAAGTGGAGGGGAGGTGATTACATGTCGGCTCCAGGAGGAGGTCAGAAGGTTCGCCTGCTGAAAGACGCTGTGGTGGAGTTAAAGTCCGAGGACCAGGTCATCCTTTTCATCGACAGGTGGGACTGACTCTCACATTTAATGCCATTACGATGGTCATCGTTTTCTGTACGTTTTGACCCTACGTCTTTAGGATGTGTTATAGCCAGTAGGTCCATTTGACCACATTCACTTTAACTCCTCACATTTATAGCGCTCTTCTCAGCCATTTTTATTTTTATTTTTTCACACAGCGGAGCCACACTTGAACTTTCAATCTTTCCTTTTTTCTCTCCCTTGTTGGCACAGCTACGACGTGGTTTTTGCCTCGGGTCCTAAAGAGCTTCTCAGGAAGTTCCAGCAGACCAAACACAAGGTGGTGTTCTCCTCAGAGAGCCTCATCTGGCCAGACAGACATCTGGAGGACAAGTACCCCCATGTCAGGGAGGGCAACAGGTTCCTGGGTTCAGGAGGTGGGTCACCCAGGGCGGATCACGTGGCCCTTACTGCTAACAACTCTGATAGGTGGACAAAAGTAATATTTTAGTTCTGTATATCAACTAAACATGGATTATTTTCTCAGACTGTGTTATCTGCTACACTGAAAAAAAGACAACAGTTTATCCAAGTAAATGTATTAAGTTTATTTAGTCGTTGTGCTAAGCAAATGTCAGTAGATTAAGTTTGACAAACTTGATTTGGTTACATGTAACAAATTAAGAAGTGCTGTCAATCGACCAGATAATCAGATTAATCACACTGGCACTGTGATTAATCTGGTTTAATCATCATGCCTAAGTTTCTGAACTTGAAATATAAATATGCACACAGTTGTGCACACTTGCCACACTCCAACCAATTAAAATGTAAGAAACTATCTAGTTTCCCATCACTCAACAGAAACTTACTCCACTTCACACACATACAAGTAGCAGCAAACTTGTGCAGGGGACAACTGGCAGATAAGATATATTTTATTTTCTAATTCTTGGACGCCCCACCTTGTTTTTATGCTGCTCTGGAGAACTACCCATATCAAAAACCAGGACGCTTTCAAAAAATGTTTGAGAAAACGTTTTATTGTCTCAAACCAAACGTGTGAAGGTTTTCAGTTTTCAGGGATTTAATATTCCTGGATGTGCAGTATAAAGGAAGTGATTTAAGAATTCATTTAGAAATGCTCCTTTCCAACAGTTTCACATGGATGTCCTTCTGCAGCGTAATTTGTGCGTGTGAAATTGCACGCTCGGTCCAATGGCGCAACACAAAAAAGTTGAAAAATGTTAAACTTCTGTTGCTGTCTGCTGCTGCAGCAAACCTGTCGTTGTCGTCCGTCGCTCTCTGTGTGTCAATGCTCTTTAAAATGTTCAATTGGGCGTTCTCTGTTTAAACTTTCTGTCTCCGAGTGGCGTTCTGTGTGCACAGAAGCCGCTGACATGGCTATTCGTAGATTTCACAGGCTGGTGAATTGCTGACTGTGGAGCCTGTAAAACTGTGCCTACAAGCCCTCATTAGTACCGCCGACGTGGAACTGACACCCACACGCACCCACGCCTCCATCGAGTTGTGTCTGAAGTCAGGCGGTGTTTTGTTGTCTTTGTTTGGTTCCCAGGTTTCATGGGCTACCTTCCCAACATCAGAGAGATGGTTGCTAACTGGACGGGAGCAGACAGCGACAGCGACCAGCTCTTCTTCACAAAGGTTTACATAGATCCAGGTCGAAGGGTAAGATATGTGTCACTGTAATTACGTAAAAGCAAGCCCCTTTAATCAAAGCACTCAGCTACAGCTAATGAGACTCCCCATGTCCTGCACGTGTTTCATATTAAAAAGCTGCCGGTGGCAAAGCTTTTCCTTTTTCAGCCACACTTCAACATGCAGGACAAGAACACACAAATAAACGTTTACGTGCAAACACGAATAAGCTGGAAATGTAAACAGTCAACTAATAATTTGAACTCACTCGACTGTTTCTAAATGTATTTTCAGAAGGCCTTAAACATCACTCTGGACACAAAGTGCAGGTTGTTCCAGAACCTTCACGGAGCTCTTGGTGAGTGTTTAACACGTCAACCAGCTTTTCACCATTTAGGTTAGTGGCCACACATCACTCACAGTAGGATTGAAAGCCCACCCAGGTATATTTCTTGCTCTGTTGGTAGGATATGAGCCATCAATATCCTTCCTGGAATAGATAACTATTTATATTTTTTGACAAACGTATTAGTTTTCCATCTAACAGTTTTGTAGATCAGACAAAGTGAAGCTAAATACATTTTTGAGAGATCTTGCTGAGACACAGGTCCTTTAATCCTGGAAATGTTCTTCATGTGATAGAAGGCTGTCTTTGTTACTGTATTTATGTGTCTCTGAAGGTTCAGGTCAGAGTTCATCTCTGCACCCAGGTTCCGAGCTTGATTGCTAGTTTCCAGCTGTAATAACCGAAGCCGTGTGCCGACTCTGGATGGTTCCTCTTTAGGGTCACAAATAATGACTTCAATATTGTCTCAGTTCAGCTAGAGAAATTTATAGCATCTCCATGCATTGACTTTCTCTACGCAGTGATTGGATGACGTTGGAATGACCTGGTGACATCGTAATGTAGAGCCATGTATCATCTGCGTAGTTATGATAAACAATCTTTTCGCTTCTGATAACCTGAGCTGGTGGGAGTGTGGACGTTAAACGGAATTGGCTCCAGGATTGAACTTTTGGGTACCCCACATGTGACATAGTCCCATAAAATCCACACTCATCTGCATTTGACCTCCCTGCTTTAGTCATATCTTGCTAGGATTTCTGCACCACTCTGTGTGCCAGTCTTGATAAAGTCTCACCTCGGCAGCTGTGAACTGTCCAAGTCACAGCTGAATGCGTTTAGACCAGAAACAAACGCTATCAAGCCTGTGCTGATTTCTACACTCACCGCCTTTCTGTTCATTTCAGGATCCAGTTTAATTCTGTTACACATCTTGTCAGAACTTCAGGTCCAGTCAGAGCATGAAGGTCCACTAATGAGCTGCTGTTAGACAGAGCTTCAGCGGTGGAGCCAACTAATCCATGGAACCACCTTAAATCTCTGTATAGAAAAACATTTTTTTATTGCCTGAACATATTTATATTGCCTGAGTTTATTTTAAGCAGTTATTTTAACATGTTTATATTTCATAGTTCTACGGTAGTTTATTGTGTTGGTTAGCTGTTGCTGGCTTTAAATGTGCAGCGAACATACCATACCTGTGAGTTTGTTCAGATCCAACAAATGAGCTCAAACTGCTGAAGAACTTCAGCTCTGAACAGTGCAGCTGTTCAGAGCTGCAGGTCGGTCATAATGTTGTGCCTAGTCAGTTCTATATATGTTTGTCTTTCCAGATGAGGTGGTGCTGAAATTTGAAGACGGTCGAGTCCGGGCCAGAAATGTACAGTATGACACCCTGCCCGTCATCCTCCATGGGAACGGACCAACTAAGGTACTGCAGAACGAGAAAAGGAATGAAGCTGCTAAACTGGACTCCACCACTTTCACCACGACTTTCAACTACAAAGCAGCTACACAGAGTAACATGAGCAGCATTTTGTTGGCAGAAAAGGTTTAGCCTGTAAACTCATTTTTTAGTTGCGACTAGAGATGCACAGATCCAATGTTAATACATGCTCTGGTTTTGGTACTGGAAAAAAAAACCCCGTTCTAGACGGGTTTTCCTGATTCACATGGGCAAATCTTTTAAAGCAAATTCAAAGCTCTGTTCTCTGAGCTATTTATTTTACAGTACATTTAGAGTTACTAATTGCACTTTCTGAACCATTTGGCAAAAGGTTTGTTGCGTTTCATTTTTGACATGTTTGATCAACCTACTGTTTTTGTCAGTTTCAGCTTCTTTGTTGTTTAAATTACATCCGCTGTTGTACTCTTAGTTGCACTGACTGGACAAATGAAAGTTGTACATATATGTTTGACCATGCTTGTGAGGCTATCGGTGTATTTCATTGTGCTGTGCTGGTGCAGAGTTTATCCAGTATATTTGTAATTAAGTACATTTATTTTTGTTTTAAAAAAAAGAGAAAATTTAAGTCAAGTCAGCACCGTTTTTCTGTATCAGAATGGCGTCGGCCGACACTGAACAGATATCTGTATCGGGTTGAAAAAAGTGGATCGGTGCATCCTCAGCTGTGACGTGACCTACAGGAACACGTTTGTTTTCCAGCTCCAGATTAACTACCTGGGTAACTACGTCCCCAACTCGTGGACGTTTGAGACCGGTTGCACCGCTTGCCTCGAGAACCTGCGTTCACTCTCATCCCTGAAGGTCAGCTCGGTTCTCAACCAGCCACGGCTTTTCCAACCGGGTTTTCCATGAAGTCTGCGCAAAGCAGTGGTCAGACGAAGCCTGTTGTTGTTTTTCCACAGGAAAGTGAGTACCCTCTGGTGGTGATCGGGATCTTCATTCAGCAGCCAACACCATTTGTATCTGTCTTCTTCGAACGTCTTCTGAAGCTCCAGTACCCGAAGAACAGACTGAAGCTCTTCATCTCCAACCAGGTAACTCCTGATGTCCACTTCTCAAGAAATAACACCTGATATATTTATATCACATTGATTATATTTATTTCAGTTGAAAGTCTTTAATTAGTGCATAGTGGAATTTATTGTTATTATCCTACGGAGGCCTGGATTTAGAATCACATGCTAGGCGGATCCAGCTTTTTCCTCATTGTCTGAATCAGGCCATACATCCCTCGTTTAAGCTCAGTTAGAAAACCTGTGGTTTTCAAGACATCAATAATTACATTTCTTTCTATTGTGGCATTTAGCAAATAGAAATAATTTTGGTGATTCTAACTACTCTGAAAAGGGAACCTAGAGACAGATTTTGATACAGATGGCAGCCTGTAGACCAGCTAGTTCACTGAGGAGTGGCTTCATTAATGTTGTTAAAGACTCTAACAGGAAAGCATGTTTCAGTAGTGAAAGGTTCTGAAGTTTGGGTGAAAGGCGGCCGTAGAGCTTTTTGGCTTGGTTGAACTAGAACAGCAGCTCCATGGGACATTGCTTCTCTTTTTATTTCTAACTCTCTCTCAGTCATGAAAGTGTTTCTGTGGAAGAAACCACTGTGAAGAAAATCAGAACATTATTATTTTTGTGTGTCAATACTATTTTTAACAGGAAGAAACAATTGCAGTACTCCTGGTGTAAATCCACATTCAGCAGTTCGAAAGCTGCCACATCGCGAACTCAGAGAACAGAGGCGAACGTCCATAAGAAACACATTAAATCGTTTGTGCTTGCAGGAGCCTCATCATGAGCAGCAGGTCAGCTCCTTCCTGCAGAACCACGCGAGTCTGTATCAGGATGTAAAATCCATCCGGCCTGAGGAGGAGATGGATGGAGCAGATGCTCGTGACTTGGCCTTGTGAGTTTCAGTTTATGTTCAAAACATTTCTTAACGACTTCCAGTCTTTTATTATCTTTTTTAGTAAATAAACGTTTTTCAGTTTCTCTCCCATTTGAGGCTGAATGAATTCAAACGCAACATCTTTACTCTAATGAGGCAAAGATGCAGTGAGCTTTGGATCTGCACTGATGCTACAAAAAATCTATTTGTTGATTTTAAATACTAAATTCTTTTAGAAAAGAGAGCGAATCCTCAGTTTATTGTTGATTGGTTAAGAGAAAAATTGAACAAAAACATGGCCTGCATATACCCCAGACAAAATGTTTTGACACCCCTGAACCAAGCTGTGAGATGTGTGATCTCAGTCAATCAGAGCAGCTCTGATGCTGGCTGATCCGGGGTCCTGGCTTCGCCTGAGCCATTTGCTCCATTTTACAGATGATGATGCAGAAAACTTTATTGTAGTTGAAAGGTTAAAAACCTGTAAAGGGTTAACCTCCCCAGCTCCTCTGCTTTGTCTTGCAGTGACATGTGCCGGAAAGACAAGGAGTGCGATTATTTCTTCAACTTGGACATTGAGGTGGTCCTAAAGAACGAGAACACATTGAAAATCTTGATTAAGCAAAACCTGTAAGTACATTTAAAAAAAATAATGAAATTGAAGATTAGATTTGATTTTGTAAGTGTTTATATACTGCTTGTCCCCGACCATCATGCCCTCATGCCTGAACTTGTCCTGCAGGCCCATCGTGGCGCCCATGATAACTCGAGTGGGCCGACTGTGGAGCAATTTCTGGGGGGCTCTCAGCGAGGACGGCTACTACGCCCGATCTGAGGACTACGTGGACATCGTCCAAGGACGGAGAGTGTGAGTCTGGTGGTGTCCCCCAAGGACTTGAATGTTGTCTTACTGGGTAGACCGATGATCAATAATTTGATAGGAAATTATGTTTACTTACATCAGTCCAACCACTGGGAAGTTCAAAAGTTGAAACGCCTGAAGTGGTGATTAAAAAAACAACGATGTTGGAGGGAAAAGTCGTGATGAGAGAGAAGGTCAAAGGTGAAGCCAGCTGTAGATCCAGACATGATCAGAGGGAAGGCGAAACGGAACCGGTTTCTGGATTGGCCCACAAAACAGATAAAAAATATTTCAGTTCAGTTAAAAATATTTTATTTATCACAAAGGGAAATGCTATGCTGTGGGGACTTACATCATTCAGGTATTTCTGGAGAGTCGTTGCGATTCTGTGGGCAGGAGGGATTGTTGGTAGCAGTCAGTTTTAAAGGGAATCCAAAGAGGCCTCTGACTGAAGACTGTTGCTCATGATATTATGACATGCCAATAATTCAGTGTCTGGGTACAATATTTCAAAGTGCACGTCCTGCATGACTTCATCAAGCTCTGCTAGTCCTTCTCCTTTGCCTTTGCTGGCCGTGTTGTTAGAAAGCCGGGATATGATACTGTCACATTTTGATTGAAGAAGATGGTTTGAACTTCCTCCTTCTCTCTCCTCACCCATTATTATGCCTCACTTTCAACTCCGCTGTGATTTGGGGGTCAAAGTTCAGGCATTATTTGAGGTTTTGAGAAAAGCCTTGTTCCTTTAGAATCTGCAGCCTTCTGTCACAGTCTCTTCCTGATGTCGGATTCTTGTGTTTGTTTCGAAATTCCTTTGCAGGGGTTTGTGGAATGTACCGTATGTTTCCAGCATCTACTTGGTGAAGGCGAGCCTGCTGCGGGCAGAGCTGAAGGACTACAAACTGTTTACCTCGGAGAGCTTAGACCCCGACATGGCTTTCTGCCACAACGTTCGCAGCAAGGTCTGCAGGACAGCAGAGACTCACAATGGGACTCTGATTCAAAGGTTTTGTTAAATGTTATTGTGAAAAGTTTCTCCGTAACCTGAAACCTGCGACTCTGTCTTGTCCTTTTGCCAGGGTGTCTTCATGTACGTCAACAATTTACACACGTTTGGCCGCATTCTGTCAACAGAGAAGTACAAGACAGAACATCTTCACAATGATCTGTGGCAGATCTTCGAAAATCCTCTGGTAAGGACGGACGGACTGGATGGACAGATGGACAGATAGATAGTGTTGGACTGATCGGAGTGTGGTCTGTCTCTGTGCGTTTCAGGACTGGCAGGAGCGTTACATCCACGAGAATTACACCCGCATGATTAAGGATAAGCTGATTGAAAATGTGAGAAGCAGCATGAAGCCCAGATTCCAGAGAGAACACACCAAACTCAAGTGACTCTCTAACCCGGGGTTGAACGGTTCTGTGTCCTCTCTAGCCGTGTCCAGATGTTTACTGGTTCCCACTGTTCAATGACGTGGCCTGCGACCATCTTGTTGAAGAAATGGAGCACTTTGGCAAGTGGTCAGGAGGGGGAAATGTGGTAAGCCAGATGGATGACGAACACATGGATGTGTTTGTCCTTCACGTTGTACGATGCATAACCTGCATCAGAGAGGCTCAAAATGATGAGTGTTTTCTCTGTTGTCTTGGTCCATGCCATCTCTCATTGATATATTTGGATTGGTTCACTTCCTAGGATACCAGAATCCAGGGGGGCTATGAGAACGTCCCCACCATCGACATCCACATGAACCAGGTCAACTTTGAAAAGGAATGGCAAAAGTTCTTGCTGGAGTTTGTTGCACCCATCACAGAGAAAATGTTCCCTGGCTACTACACCAAGGTGAGACCTCTGAACCCTAATTGATCCTCTGCTAGCTGGGAGGCGTGTCGGACCAAAAGTCCTGATCCACCCTCATCTTTTCCTTCCTAGAAACCAGAGTAAGGCATTAAAATGGTCATGCTCAGTAGTTACCCTGTAGGACATCCTGAGATCTGAGTTGGACAAACATCCGTCCACATAGCTGTGCTAAACCAATCCAAGTGAAAAGATATCTCTAGACTCTTTCACGTGTTTGTTCTCATTTCTGACAAACGTGTCAGAAATCCCGATGATTCAGTGCTGTCACTAATAAGGCTCTACTTTAGAGCAGAATACTAAGCAACAAAAGTATTACCAAGAATTTTTGCTTATACCTTTTGTCTTGAAAAGCAACATCTGAAAAACACTGTTTTGGGGTTTTCCTAATCAGGAAGTACTTGCTATGTATCGTTTTACTTCTTCATACGGTCTAACCGTTTTTACCTCCTCTCAACTGAAATCGTTGAAGTGATGGAAACAAAACGGCTGTTTCCTGAGCCACCCTTTACTGCTGCAATGTACTATGAAAATAAAGACTTTTTTTTGTTAAGATAGTTTAAGAGGAATCTGGAAAGCCTCCAGATGAACTGAATATTTTGTGTTTAGCATCTTTAAAAGAGACACAATGACTTGGGCAGAGCTCTTGCAGCAGCTTCTGTCAGCGAATACATGACATGTTCTGACTGCAGTATTTTGTCACAACATATTTCTGCAGTTGCTAACTATTAACTGGTTAGTAAAACTAGTTAATAGTTTCATCTACTAATAATGAAGACAACCTTAAAAGAGTACAGGACACTGGCTGGGATTTTTCACTTTGCATTGTCCTGCAGCGCCACCTTGTGACCAAACTACAGACTAGCTTTCAAATTAAACAAATTCATGGAGATTTTCTGCATCCGTCTTGAAGCAATGTATGGCAAGTTTATTAGCTATTATTTTTAGTAAATTTCAGCAACAAGTCAATCCAGCATTAACACGTCAGTGATTACAAACATTACATCGCGGTGCCAAAATAATGTGATGGAATTAATGAAGCTCCAGTTCTTGGTTTTGTTTTAGGTTTTTATGTCTGCATGACTGCCGTGTCTCTGTGTTTGCAGGCTCAGTTTGACTTGGCCTTCGTGGTCAGATACAAGCCAGACGAGCAGCCCTCTCTGCGGCCGCATCATGACGCCTCCACATTCACCATAAACATTGCACTCAATCAAGTCGGCACTGACTACCAGGTAAGCAGACAGTGGCCCTTCGGCTCTGCACCCCACAGCTTTCGGAGCAATAATGCTAACCAACAGCGAAAGCTGCTCATCACACATGTGACAGATAGGAGGTGCAGTAGTCGTAGCTCCTGACAACGAGATAAACAGATGAAATCACATGTAAGTGACTGATTATATTGGCTTTTAAAGTCTTTCCAGATTGAGAAATTATTTTTATTTAAAAAAAAAAAGGTGTGGAGCTTTGATGGCTTTCTGCATTCTTCAGATGCAATTGAAAATATAATGTTGGCTCTAAATCTCAACTTCAGCTTTAAAAGTGTTTCTTTCAAACCGGAAAGCGATATTCAAAAATTGATTCTGTTCCAGCCGAACTCCAGTCAGAAACATTTCATTTCTTACTGATAATGGCCATCAGTGGCCTGATGGAAACCCCGTTTTCCTCTTGAAACATGCTGCCGGCGTCAGGCCAAAGCTTTTTTTAAGAGAACACATTTTTGTATCTTTAGTGGCTGTTTTGTGTTGTTGTTCTTTGCTTTGCCTGAATTCAAAGATGACTGAGCCTTCAGTGTGTTTAGAGTGAAAGCTGTAAAGTGTTGTTTTATGGATGCAGGGTGGTGGATGCCACTTCATCCGATACGACTGCTCCATCCAGGCCCCCCGGAAAGGCTGGGCCCTCATGCACCCTGGCCGCCTCACTCACTACCACGAAGGCCTGCCCACCACTGCGGGGGTCCGCTACATTGCAGTGTCCTTTGTGGATCCCTGAACTTCACCACCGCATATTCCAGACTGAATGGGACACTGTGATGCCCAAAATAATCTGACATTTTTATTTTATTTTTTTATCTCCATCTCCAAAACATTTGTAAGTAGTTCAATCACCCGTACTCCATGTTGACTGTAAGCTTTAGTTTGTCGTCATTTACTAACAGAGCTGGGGAAGCTTTAATTCTAACATGTGAAAATACAACAACTTCCTGGGAACATAAAGAAGATGGGCTCTAAAGATTCCTCAACAGATTGTGCCTTGTTTGTAGCAGTTTTCCCGGTCTGCACCTGGATCCAGTCATCTTCGAGACGGGCTCTCATGTCTCATTGAAAGCACCAGAGGGGTAAAACCATGTTAGTTTGGAAGTGGGAGTTGAGAATGACATTTCACCTCAGCTGTGCTCCAGTTAAGAGTCCCAGAAATAAAGCGAAAAGGAGTGTGAACCACTCGCTGAAACCATCCTGACCGGTCGCTTGTTTGTGACCAACTGGCTGTTTTTCTAACTTTACCTGGATTTTTGGCGATAAATGAAGGAAGGTGATCAAATAAATTCTTCAGATTCTTCAAATTATTCTTCAGTATTTTGAGACAAGAGGGTGTCCCTTGTGGTCAAATGAGGCATTGCAGATAGGCCTGTTGCAAAAACAAATTTTGCTGGGCAACACATTGTCCCAGAAATAATTGCAATGACGGTTGATATTTCATGACCATATCCAGATAATATAGTAGATGTTCTGACTTGATACTGCAACCCATAAAATGTCGTCATTCCCAGTTCTTCCTCAAAGTAAGTTGTAAAAGTAAATGGAATAAAGGTTCTCGGTGCACGTGCATCCTGGGATTTGTAGGCCACTGTAATATAGAAGTTTACAATCAGTGATTAGAGTGAAGTACATATCTGATTTTAAACTGAAGACGTATCATTGATTCTCCAGGGACCACCGAGGCTCCAGCTTGGATTTAACGAATCATTTTGTTCTCCTGATCATCCTCTCTGACATCCAGACAGCCATCTTTACAGCAACCATAGCTTACAGCAGGAGGTGAAGTAGGTTGGGGTTTATGGATCAGAATCAGATTCTCTCAGGAGAAAACCCTTAGTTATTTTTAGTTGCGTCTAGTTTGATGTTAAGCTTTGCTTTAAACTGCAGCTGCTTGAATCACCAGTGCCTTCTTCTGTATCCTAGCTGTTTTACTGAAATACTCCAAAGTAAGTTTATTTCTTTTTATATGCTAGATGTGAATCAGCTGGACTACCTGCAGCTGCTTGGAGTCAGAGCTGCGGTATGGAAATGACCTGTAACACTGTTTGTCTCATTAAAAAGTTGAATGTGTTTTATGGGAGAGATTTGAAGAAAACAATAAAGTGGGGAAGCCAACCAAGATGTGTTTCAGGCTCCTCTTTTTCCTCTCAAAAGCATCAACCTCAAAGGATGAATGGAGTCAAATATTTATGCTTGTGTCATTTATACCACCATCATAACTACATGCATCAAGGGGAGGAAAGGCAAACCAAAACAAACCTGGTGTTGTGGAAAAAGCTATACTCCCTTGTTTAATCAAGTTTTCTATGATTAAATTCAGATTTACAAAACATCCTAAACCTGTTGTAAAGAAATTCAACAACCACTAGTTATTTTAAACTCAGCATCTGTCAGTCTGCTTGGGGTTACCAATGCATTTGGAAGAATTGTTCAAGTAAACCTCAGCAAAAACAATCGATTTGTTGGAACCTATGAAGACACAGAATGGCTGCGAACCTTTGTAGGTTTTCTCTACTCTTCCTTCAGACTCCAATTTCCAAATATAATACAAATGGTCTCAGTGTGGAGGCTCTTAATTTTCTTACTGCAGCCTCAGATTTCTTGTGCAAATTCTTTGCAAGGCGATCTTCTCAAGATTGAGGTTATCCCTGTGGATAGTGCAGCTTTTTCCTTCCACTCAACTTTCTAGGACTCCACCCATGCTGCATAGACTCTTCCAACCCTTAAGGCAAAGGGCTGAGGAGCATCTAGAGCAAGACTCAAGATGGTTTTTACCCTTCAGTTGTCAGACTGCTAAACTCAAGCCACATTTAATTGAGCTTTCTTGCTTTTTAAGTACCATAATATGTAGCAGAGTTACATTTCCCAACTTTGGTCCTGAAGACACACTGCTCTGCATGTTTTAGATCTTAGCCTGCTGCAAGCACAATTTCAACTGATGGCTGATTAACAAGTTATTGAACTAATCAGGCATCTTAAATTAGGGAAATATGCAAAACATGAAGAATACTTGTTTTGTTAGGCTTTTTGACCAGAGTCTGAAATTTGTACCACAAACAAGCAGATAGATGTGAGCTGTATGACTGAAAGGCTCAGGTTTGCTGCTGGACAATAACATTTTTTGATGCTAAATTGCACTTGACCCTGTTTGTTTTGAGCCTGAGGAGAGTAAAGGCTGAATTACAGTCAAGGGTTTAGTGCATAGTCATTTGCATAATTTTGAGAAACCACACAAGAACAGCAACGTTGAGATGGAACGCCAAATCATTTTTGCAGGTTTTGTATTACGGATTTAGTGACACAGGCTAGGATTTCAAATAAAAGTTTTATTACAGAAATGCAATATATGTGGAAGTTTATGCTCACTTTTCAAAAACCTAAAAACAGACAAAAAAAAAACTCTCCAAAACAAATTACAGATTTGCAAAGAAACTCACTAGCAAGTCATAAGAGAATAGTTAAAGCAACAGCTGGAGCAGAGCTCAAGTAGAACTATAAACAGAAACAGGTTTCAGCCATTGCAACAGTTAAAAACTGAAGACATATTTGCAAAGGCCGTTGCCATAAAAAGGGATCTTGCTGCTTGTTACCGGAAGCGTTTGGAGAAGTTTGGCGACTCGGGGATTGTGAGAACAGCGTCACTCTTCTTCACGGTGACAGGTTTATAGTGTCTGATGGGCTGAGCCTTGTGGACCTGGAAGCAGGAGGAAATGTCACGTGGTAAAGTGGTTCTAAAGCAGATTTAATCTTCAATGCTTCACATGGTTAGAAATAGATCAATTTGTAGCATGACAGAGATCTCTCCTAATGAGGGGGGATCAGCATATTGCATTTTGATGCACTTATGTTAACTCCAGTTTCTGTTCTTAAGTAGAACAGAATCATCAATGACAGCGAATGAACTGGAGCCCATTTTGTAAATGTTTGTAAAAGTCTTAATTTAAAAACTTCCCAGTTTGAGTCAACATACAGCTGGATGTGTCACAAAATATGCCCCTCCCCTCCAGAAGCCCAGACCCAAGTCAGGCAGCCAAAGAGCAGCTCAGACAGGAGCTCACCTGTTCTTGTCGCAGCCTTGCAATCTCCTCCCTCTCTCTCTGCTCTTCCTCCAGCCTCTGCTCTGCCTCCATGCGCGCCCTCAGCATCTCTTTTTCACCAATCAGACGCTCGTACTCCTGCCACTCTTGGGCTCTGCGCTCTGTGGCCAACTGGAAGGGCTCCAGGGCTGCAGAAGAATCAATGTTATCTCAGAAGATGCCCAGAATTATGCTGGCAAGTCAGCAGAGATGCAATTTAATTATACATGTAGAGGAAAACTTCTGAAACAGATCCCGTGTGCACAACATTTTAAATGATGTGGTGGAGACACTCGGAGACCCAGCTGTGTGAACAAGGAGTCGGAGAACATTGTTGTTCTTGGTCATTTTCTACAGAACCTGATAATTTAGCAATAGGACCTCTTGTAGGCAGTTAAGTAATGCCACGTCAGGAGCTGAACTACAAGGCAGAGTCGTCATCATTTCACTACAGGCTGGTTTCTAATCTTACCCACTGATGTTCGGTTCTCCTTCTTGGGTCGAAACGGTTCTTTGTGAGTGACTGTGTTGGGCCTGGCTTTGAATGTAGCCGCCTCCTCCTGCTGCTTCTGCTCCTCCTTCACCTGCAGGACATTGGAAAGTCAGTCAGCAAGAAGGACTCTGCCACGAGTCCCAGGCACAGTGAGCTGGAGGCGGTCTGTCCTACCATCTGCTCCCACTGCCTGAGCCTGCCTGCTCCTCGCTCGTCGATGTGGAGCCTGAAAGGTTCGGGCTTGGTGGGCTCCAGCTTCTTCTTCTCAGGGAGGACCACTGCGTTGAAGTCTGGCAGTGGCTGGGCCTTGAAGTGCGGCACCTGGAAGCAGTGCAGACACGCCATGAGCTGTGTGGACTCTGAAGGGTGACATTTCCAGTTCTGGATCAACAAAACCCCACCTCTTCGTTCTGCAACTCTGCCAGCCTCTTCTCCTTAAGAGCCTGTCTCTCCTTGTCCCTCTGCTCGAATGAGAAGGGACACACCTCCACCTGGTGGCTCTCAGGGAGCTGCGGCTGGAAGGGAACCCCAAAGTGGGGGACGGAGACGACTTTGACTGGTGAGGGTGGCTTTACCTGAACACAACAACAAGGTCACCAAACTGAAGTGACAGAGTAACAAGAGACCCAGAAAAGGGAGCCCTTCCTTACCTCCTCAACCTTGCGCTCCATACGGACTCTCTTCTTCAGGGCAAATGCTGGAGACTCCGGTACAGTTGGACATGTTACCTTCTTCTCAGGTAAGCCCTGCCCACAGGAGAATGTCTTCTTTATAGACGCTTATAATGGTTTGAAGTAAGACTGTTCCAGATTAACCCTCTGGAGGGACTCACCACAACACCATCCAGGACCTTCTTGGGCAGGGGGTTTGCTTTGAAACTGTGAGGCTTCTCCCCGTCCTGCGACTTCTTGTTCAACTGTCTCTCCTGGAGTCGTTTCTCGATCTCCAGCTCAAATTCTTCAGGTACCGTGGGCTCCTTCGCTGCTGGCTTCCTCAACTCTTCGGGGCCTTCCAAAATCTTCTTGTTTAGCTCCAGGGCTTTGATCTTAAACCTTAACACACAAACGACGATCCGACACAGAAGTCTTTCGTGAGCTTGTGGGAGGAGTTTGACGCCTTACACAACTTCCAGCTCTAATGATGAGCTCTTTAGAGACAGGTTCTTACTTCTGAAGTTTCTCCAGCTCTTCTGCCTCCAGCTCTGCACTGCTCTTCACAGAAGTTTGGCGGCTTCTCTGTCGGGTCATCAGCTGGGGCGAGTGAGGCTGGGTGAGGTGCAGGTGCTGGTGCTGTCCCTTCAGCGGAGACGGCCCTGAGACAAGTCCAAGAGACACTTAAAACCCAAGAAATGACCATATTTCCATCTAAAGTTGGTTGCGATTGTGGAAAAATGTATTGCAGGATTTCATGTCAACCAATGACTAGTTTTTGGTTTGCATATCTGAATTACTGCCAAACTCTTGTGACCTTTTCCTGTTTTAACAGTTTCCTCTCAAGGAAAATGTTCTCATCTTTCAGACCACAATGATTTTTTAAAATTTATTTTGAAAACATTATGAGGCCCACTGGGGAAGCCTGAAAATGCTGCTGTGTAAATTAACTCAACATGTTGCTAGTTAACCAAAGAGTGAGTGACGCCATCCACCTTGCTAAGATGGCTCTGAGAGGTTGAGCAGCTAAACCCTTCCCTCTGCCTACACCCCCACAATACCATATGGTTCTGGTTCAGAATGATTGAATATTCTACTTGATTTATTATCCTTGGATTTATTATTTTGCCACAGACTCAAACTGATGCCTTTTTGATCTTCAGATTTTGGGACAAAGCTTCAGCTATGCATGATCGGCAGTACATTTCATAGTTCCCATTACTACAGTGTGCTGTGATCGTGACGAAGCTCAAACTTTCCCAAAACATCCATCCATTGAACTCACAGAAGGCATGTTTGAAATAAGACAATTTCTGATTATATTTTCTGTCATTTATCATTTCTTTTAAGAAAAAGAAAGCATGAAAAATCAGAAATCTGACTTTGTATCAAAAAAACAAAAGAAACACTGATTTTATACCAGTCATATCACCCAGGTCTACTCTGTCCATCATTCATTTCCTTCTAAAAATAATCCTAAGTGCAAAACGTGAACCACTAATGACTCTTGACTATGGCTCCAGTGTTGGCATGGAAACAGGTTCCATCTCCAACAATATTGGAGAACAGTGGGTGAGGAGCAGGTTTCCAACTAAGATAAAAACATCAGGAACATCTCAGCTCCAAGCTTCAGACTACAGACACAAGTTGCTTCTTCACCTCTCTCTTGAGTCTTGCGGCTGCGCAGGTGGTAGCGGGTGGGGGTCTTCTTCTGGAACTGCTCTATCTGCTGAGCCATCGAAACGTAGGCACCAGGCCCCTCCTTGCAGTTCTTGTGACCTGCTGACAGGTTGAACGGTTTGGGCACCGTGGCTCCTTTCCTCGCCTTGGCCTTTAAAAAGAACAACTCAGTTGAAGTGTGTCGTCAGTTTGTATTGACTTCAATCAAAGAACAATCTCAGGTGATAAGCTGACAGGTCTGGACTACTTAACCTGGATGTCCTGCTTCAGAACAGAACGATGTTCTGAAGCACTCAGATGTGTACACGTTGACGTGTGAGTGTGTGTGTGTGTGTGTGAGAGAGAGAGGTCACTCACAGGGGAGGAGGGCTGTCGCAGCTGATTGATAAAATCCACCTTCTGCAAGGCATTTGATGAAGCGGGTGTTTTAATGCGGGACTCTGTGTTGAAGTGGAAGTTTTTAGGCACAGTTGTAGACATCAACATCTTCTTTGGTGGTGGATCTGAAAAGAGAGGCCGTTGAAATTTCTCAAACACTTGTTGTCCTTTGCAGCGCAGAGTCGTCTTTACTCACTGCCAGCCAGAGCAGCTTTGTAGCTGGCCTCGTTTTTCCTGCGTTGCAGAGCAACTTCCCTCTGCAGGCTCCTGATGCGTTCCATCTCCAGCTCTTCAGAGCTGCTCAGCCTGTGTGGACAAAGTAAATGCAGCTGACAGAAACCCACCATCATATATTCAGCCTGTTATTTAAAGGGTCAATATTGTGTTTTCCAAGCACATAGTGCCTTTAATAGCCCAGTCAAGTAACTGTTAACTTCATGTTTTTTTTTATATATATATTTTAAAATGCTGTATTTATCAAATATGACTTCAAAGTAATTTGACTTTATCATTTAGTGCCTTGAAATATGGGCATTTGTCGCTTTAAAAACTCCTGTTCTTTCTAAAACAACTGTCACATTTATACCAGAGCAAAACATAATTAGCATTCCTGTCAGTTGTACTACTCTTTGCAGAAAGTAGTTTGTGTAATGCAGAAAATGCACCGTTCCCCCAGGGGTTTGTTAATTCCTGCCACTAGACTGAGAGGGAGGGCTGCTCTGTGAGGCAGAATCTTGAGGAGGAGCCATGTCTCCAAGGTAGCACTAGGTTCATCCAGACATTTTGCGCAGCTGAGAGGTTCCGATTCAGATTAAAGGATTGAAAGAGTCAAAGAAACTAAGAATAATAAAACTCACCAAGAAAAAAAAAAAATTAAGTTTGTTGGTAAAATGAAATTTTTTTAAAAATATTTTTTATTTTAGGAAAGTAACAATTTCAGGAGTTTTCTTACCCTTTTGATCTCTTTAATGGAGGAGGAGCTGAACTGCAGATCATCTCTTTACGTTTTGAAATCCTGAAATATATTGCAGATCAGAGTTTAGATTTTTAACGCTATATGCAACATACACAACACGGAATAGTAATAGCTCTTGAACAAACTGCACCTGCAAGGCTGTGCACGATGCTCTTTGACAGGCTCCCTCTTCGCCTGGCCTGATTTTTTGGCCTCCTTGGAGCTGATCATGTTTGATGAGTTGCATTTGGCTTGGCTTTGACCTGAAACAAAGCGATCAGTCATAAGTTCCTGTAGAGATCTTTTATTACTGCTGACGCAATTCTAATCTTGACGACAAGCGTACAGAAGCACTGACCAGATTTCACATCTTTCTCAACTTTATCCCCATAAGCTCCAGAATGATCAGCCTCCATCTGCTGCTGGCCTGGTCTTGCAGGGGTGACAAGTTGAGGGCCTCCTCCATCAGCATGTTTGTCTGTTCAGGACAGTCCAGAGTGTTACAATGAAGGAGTTAAGATTTGTAAAGCCTCACACACACACACACACCACACCCACACACACACAAAAACCCTCTTACATAAAGTATTAGCGACAGCTTTTACATCACCTCACCATATAGTGGGGAGGATTTCGCTGCACCTAGAGAAATTAGGGTTCCAACATTTAATCAGAGTAAACATAAATGATGAAAATCAATACTTTAGAAATAAATTAGTTATTAACTAGGAAATACCTCTAAAATACAACTGTTTTCTGAAAGAACACACTCAGCAATAAAACTATGCCAAAAGACATTTAGTATTTAATGCGTAAAATAAAAAACTAAACAGGAAAAACAAAACAAAACAAAAAAACACTAAACCGTTTCTACCCATGATTCCTTGTGTGGCAGATTTACCTTCACTTGGTTCAAATTCTGTAAAAGTCTCCCACCTTGTGCTATCCAGTTATCATCAACATAATCACAAGCTCAGTCCAACACTGAAATTGATGTTGAGCAGAAATGGTTTATTTAAGTATTTAGCTGTGGATGCATGCTTTCCTACAAGAGTACATGCTAGACAAATGCTATAGAATTGAATGTAGGAAATAAAATGCTTATTTTCTTATTTAGAAAAGGGAATGAGTTGTTCATTTGTAATTTTATTGATGTTTTGTAAATTAATCATTTATACATAAAAAAATCTCTTGAGATTCGTTGTCTAATTTACGAGACATCTGTTACATCAATAATAACATAGAAACAATCCAATCTACTTAATTCTAAAAATCATCATACCTCAATAAGAAGGTTTGCACTGACACAAGTGCTTGCAGACATAAATAGGCTTAAGTGTTTAAATAAAACCTGCAGAATGTAGCATTTTTTAGCCAACTAAACCACAAAATGGACAACAAAATTCTCCATTGTCAAAATAATTATCATCAAGAACAATTATAAGAAAATGGGATCAAGTCATCTCTGCAACACATGGAGGAGGTTTAGGACCACTGAAAAAAATGTAATAAAAAAGTTGAATCACATGTTCCTCAGGAAAGTTAGTTAATATGCTTTAAGGTCAGATTTTTCCCCCTCTCTGGCTCTAATCCTAAAGAAAAACAACCTATACTGATATTTTTTCTCCTCAGGTTCTCCTAAACAGAACGAGTCACTTAAAAACGTACAATTGTTGCTTGAAGAAAAATCAGCCAGGCCTAACAAAACCCCCTCCCCCTTATCAGCTCTAAAGCCATCACTCCTCGACAACACCACATGTACTCAAAATTACATATATATATATATATATATATATATATATATATATATATATGTGTGTGTGTGTGTGTATATATTTATATATACACACACCATTCTGCTGACAAATTATGGATCTTGCACATTAGTTAGAATGTTTAGCATTTTTAATTGTTTGTCTACAAATTTTCAATATCTTTTCACCCATTTTGAATCCGTCCACTTTTCTGAAATCACGTATCTGAAAACCTTCCCTCTGCATAGGAGAGTTTGATCCAATTTAAAGAAGTCGGGCTTAAAATATTTAGCAACTCCACCGCCCATTTCACCTCACACAGGAAGAGGCGAATTATAGAAACAAAGCAACAAAGAGTTTCCAAACGTAAACGGAGAGCTAAATCAGCAATAAGCTACTGGAACCGATGCTGGATTCAGGAGTTTCGTAGACACTTACCAAACCAATGGTCGTCGGATTCTGCATCCAGAAGCTCCTTGAAGTCCACAACATGAGACGGGGCGTCAAAGTCGTAGAGCCCAGAAGTCTCCCCAGAGTCTGTGTCGGCCATAGTCACGTCTCTCCAACAGCTACTCCGAAACAGTTCAATTCAATAGCTCTTTACCAGCTTTGAAAGGAAAATTATTAGACCGAGTTAATAAATAACAAGAACATGATAACTCTACATGTACAGCCTCTCTGCCCTCCCCCGGTTACCAAAACATGTTAGCAAAAAAAAAAAAAAAAAAAAAAAACCCAAAACGTAACACGTCCTCAATATTCAAAAAATACAACTCAAAGTACCGCCCAATTGTAACTGGACCACTGGAGCAAGCGTCAAACTGATAAGAATATTCCAAAACTATATAAAGAGGAGTTATTTTCTGTCACACGGTACCGAGGACTCACCGTGTTGCTCTATTCCCCAGTATCACAGTATTAAAACGCAACCGTCGGGCTGAGAAGTTAACGTTTAAAAAGACCGGTCCATTTCGAACCAGCCAATGTCTGTCAGCGTAAGTCTTCAACTCGAAGCTCATTGGTTAATACAAAAACGTATTACGTAGCGAATTCTACGCACAAAACGTCAGAGGTCCGGCCAACAACTTCTTCTTCTTCTTTTTTTTCTAGTATGGCGGATCGCAAGCAACTTTAAGGTGCATATCGCCACCTACTGTAAACGAATGTGTAGCAACATTACTTTACATCAATCAAATTCTATTTTTTTATTTTGCATTCTGAAGATAAAGAGTTTCCAAACGTAAACGGAAAGCTAAATCAGAACCGATGCTATATTCAGGAGTTATTAAAGGAATATTTTCCAATATTCCTTTAAGACTCCATTCTTGAGCTGTCCTTCCAAACATTCTTCTCAATTTCTCCCTTTCAGGTTCAGATATTTTACAGTTCATCAATAAGTGTTCTACATTTTCTTTCTCTCCACATCCTTCACATTTATATTTTTTTCCTTCCTATTAAATATAAAATGTCATTTAAACAAGTATGACCTACTCTTTACCTGATCATTATTATTTCTTCCCTTCTGTTTCTCTCATTAATTTCTCATTAATATGGGCTTTTGTTCTTTATATAATCTTCTTCCTTTCTTATCTTCATTCCACCTTATTTTTCCATTTTTTCACTCTTAATAAGTGATTTCTCTTCCCCTTTCCCAAAAGGAATTGTAATTGTTATTGCCCCGTCTGAAACCCTTTTTGCTCATTTATCTGCCTTTTCATTGCCTTTTACACCTTCATGTCCTGGTACCCAACAGAACTAAATATCAATGCCCCTGTATAATCTGCATAATCTAAATAGACTCTGCTGAGTTTCTAATACTAAATCTTTCCTATCATTTCCTTCTCCCTGAAAACTTTCTAAAACTGCTTTGGAATCTGTGCATGTCATCACCCTGTCTGCTCTAACCTCCTCTACCCTTTTAAGCTTTGTATAACAGTCATGTATCTTTACCCCTATTTCATTTAAATTCCAATAATTTTTATTTTAAGAAGTTTCATATCTACATTTACCTCAAGAAATAGCCATGGAGGAATAACACTAATTAAACTGGGCTATTCCCTTATCCTTTAATCCATACATTTTAATCAATTTGCTTATAATCCTCCCAAATCCATTACTCTGTAACTTTGAATATTCCCAGCAGTTTCATAATATTGTTCAAATTGTATTTCTGGCCAACTTTTACTGAATTACTTGTTTATTTAAGCATATTTTCTCAATAAGAGACAGCAAAGAATAAAAAACAAAACTGCCGTCTATAGTCTTTGGATAATATTTGAAACAATGATTTCTTTTCCTATTTTCTCAGACAACTCACAAATTTAAATAACTTCTTGCTACTGATCATCCATAACTTTCTTCCAATCATGCATTGCAGAAAAAAATGCAAAAATGTCCATTTTAATTTCTTCCATTAAAAGTGAAGAAAGTGAGTTACTATCACTTTCACTGTTGAACTCTACTACTTTGCTAAACTTTATAAGTTCTCCTCAAATGCTATTTAGACATAGAACCTCTGATTTGCTGAGCAAAATATGTTTGAAATGAAGTAGTCTGACAAACAATACTTGATATTGTTGTTACTTTCATTTGATTGTTTTAGTGGTACAGGAGTACAAACTGAGGGGAATGTGGAAAAGATGATGTCCTTCAGTTAACATGTGGTAGAATAGAATAGAATAGATTCACTAATGTCCCATAAATACAAGGGTAAAAAAAATTAAATTAAATAAATAAGAGACTGTACAGTAGGGGGACATTTACAGCATAAGAAAAATATAACTGCAAAGTTATTTAAGTAGAAACAACATACTCAGACCAAACGAAATGTAAGGTGTGGGATTGACACTAACATTCACAAAGTATTGGATAGGTCTGTTTTGACTAGATACCGCCCATATGGTTACACTATGATCACTAAAGGCTCATCTGGCGTCATTTCTCTCCAACAATGACTGATTTATAGCGCTCTCCTTGATGCCTCCAACATTGTTAGTAGCTATCAACGCTGAGGCCCATTGGTCCCGTCAAGCATAAATACTTGGTTAAAATTGTTAAAGCATTTCACCATAAGGGAGCTTGGGATTAACTGATTGGTAAATCTTGCATGGCTGATTAGTTCGTCATGCAAGACGATGATAACCGTGTCTGGTGGCATGGTTGCAGTGTGTCTAGGCTGCAGACAATGATGATGTAAACAAGTTGAATGGTTTGTCGTGGCACTAGGATACCTCTGACCTCCTTTAAATGCACCTGAAGTTGCCTGCCGTTTATCATCGAGTTTTGCAAGCTACAGCTCACAATAAAACCCTGCAGATGATGACTGCATTCAGCCAAAGAAAATCCACTGCTATGCCTCTCTGTAGCTCTCCCATTTTCTCTGTGTCTCTGTTGCAACCTGCTGATGACACTTTGTGACATTCTGAGCTCAGAAGCTACTTCCGTCTGAGAACATCCTGTCTGCAGCCTCTCAACTTTGAGTCATTTGGTAGGTGTTGTCTTTGTCTCAATGTGTCAAAATGTAAACAGCACAAAGAGGACTGTCTCAACGTCAATTCTGATTGAACCAGGAAATTTATGGGCAAGTCATAGATCAAACACTCGTGACTTTTGTTGTTAAACTCCTTCTCAAAGAGCAAGTTGTGCAAAAAAGTACAGACACACTGAACAATTGGACATGTGCAAGAAAAAGTACAAAGAGAGTAACATTTTGTACATACAATACATAATACATAACACTAATATGAGTATAATGTAATAATGTAAGAATTGTTCTGTTAGGGATACAATTATTTTGGTACAGTAGTGCAGTTGGTAGCACTGTTGCCTTGCAGCAAGACGGTCCTGGGTTTGATTCCCGGCATGGAGTTTAAATGTTCTCCCTGTGCATGTGTGGGTTCTCTCCAGGTACTCCAGCTTCCTTCCACAGTCCAAAAATGTGTGTGTGTGTGTGTATGTGAAGCCCAGAACGTTAGCTGGAGATAGGCACCAGCACCGCTCCTGACAACAACAGTTCTTGTGGTTTTCAGTTTAGCTTAAATAACCATGCCACTTTTCATCTTAATAATAGGATTGAACCAATCCTTACATGTAGTTGCAATTTTATTGTTCAAATAATTATACTTGTACAAACAACATGACTATAAATGAAGATTTCTAATTGATTTCTCTTACTTCAAAGAAGCTAAATAAAAAAGTGACCAGTGCGTAAGTGTCCTAAAGACTTCATTTTGAGAGAATGGTGAAACTTTGAGTGAAATAACACATGACACGGCCATGAGATTAACAGAAAGGTGTTAATGTATCAATGGGTTGGATTTCTTATCACTGGCCTGGGAGTCAACCAAGAGAGCAACACAAAAAACTCAAAAATACAAATTAAATCTTGGTGAGGTTCAGTTGAAATCTAATTCTACTGCACACAGTCAAACTACGTCTACATTCAGAACAGTCAGACTGGAATAAATCCCTTGATTCAACCAGGTTTGTGCAATGTTTTTGCATCCCAATACAATCCAGCAGTGATTTACCAACTCAGTACAGCAACTTTAATACTTTTAGTTGTTGTTCAAGGTCAGTAAAAAAAATTACCTCCTGTATTAGTAGGCAGATGGAAATTCTGGGGAGTGAAAAATAGAATAGGATAAAGTAAAATAAAACAAAATAAAGTTTTGTGAGCTTACGGAAAACTTGATGATCAGGATCCTTGTCTCTGGTTGGTCAGTCTACCTATCAGTCACGATTTCTCTCTGTCCCATTGGCTGGAAGATTAAATTGTGGGCAGGAACTTGATGACGCATCACCAGGGCGGGACTATTGTGTCTAACAGGAAAACTACAGAAAGGTAAGTATCTCTCCTAAAACCACCGAACTTCTCATACTTTATTGAGCGGAACCACTCTCTACTCGGGCGCTTTGTACACCAGGACAGCAGCTGAACTCGGACGCGTTTAACTGAGTTTGTTTTCACTACAGGAAAAGGCCGAACAACTACCCAAAGTTGACATGCTAACAGTTAGCTTCTTGTGATTGCCTGACACTTCCGTAAAGAACACAGAAATAGTCCTGAACGTCACAGTCACATTCAGGTCGGATTGAACTTTTTGTTCAAATCCCAGCTGTCTTTCACTATAGAGACAAAGACAAGCTGCCACTTCATGGCGCATTTTGGCATTTTCTGTTGCGCCAAATGACTTCACCGGGTGAAAACACGTTTCATGTCCATGTAAGACACAGCAACTCAGTTCAGTCCGGAAAACATCCTGTGTTTCCACGTTCAGAAACTGGACTGAGCCCGTTTTAAGTAAAAAAAAAAAATCTGATTTTTAGAAATATGTTCAGAACCATCATCATGATTTACTTTGGAAAAAAAGAGAATAAAATAGTATTTTTTTATTGATCGTTGGTTACATGTAGTTGCAATTTTATTGTTCAAATAATGATAGTTGTACAAACAATATGACTATAAATGAAGATTTCTAATTGATTTCTCCTACTTCAAAATCACTTCTGTGCAAAAGTGTCCATCTAATTTCTGTAATATGTTGTTAAGAATAAGGACCGACATCCTGGCTGTGCACAATATTGGAAAGGCTCCAAACTATATATTCAAACTACAACCTACAATAACAAAAATAAAAACAAAACATTTTTAGTCACCCATCAGTCAGTTGGAGCACCAATAGTTTCTCCAGACATGTTCAAATATTTTAGACACACTGCTGATATCTGAAAATGATGATCCAAATGAGTGGTATTTCAATGGGCAGAATTATTGATAAGATTTAAAGAATAAATAAACATCTGACTGCTTACATACTGCATATGTAACAAGACAGAGTTTCTGTTCACTTTATGTTAAAACAAAACAATTTGCTAATCATCTGATTCGTTTGTAACTCACGTCTCAACACTGATTCGTTTTCTATATTTTTAATCTGTCTTGTAAATTTTCACTTTGCTGCAAACCATCCTGAACTT